CTTCTTAGCGTAATTCCTCGCTTAGTAGATAGCTATTATCTTCTTTAGGTATAGTGTTAATAGTAGGAGAATAGGTAGTAGTAGAATAGATAGAAGGATTAAGGTAGATAGATATTAGTATAAGGATTAGGGTATACGACTAGTATAATACTTAGGCGTAGTGTAGGTCTATAGTTAATATAAGCGGCTAGCTTTTAGTTATAAAATTACCTAGGTAAGACTAATCGACTTTATAGAAATGTCTAAAAGGTAAATAGAAAATTACCTAGGGCGTTTTATATAGAGAAGATGTTACCTAGGTAAGTTTATATACTAGATTACTTACTAGGATCTATTAGGATTATAGTATATTAGTCCTATGCCTAGTTATTATTTATAGTTTGCCTTAGGAGGAGGTGTTTAGGTAGGGGTTTAGATCCTAATAAAAGAAGGGGTAGCCTATCATTATTAGTTAATACCTATTACGACCCCTTAGACTATAGGTATTAACTAAATAGAGACCCTAGGGAGGGGAGAGAGTTAGTAGTATTTTCTTAATTACAACCTAGGATTAATAGTAAGTTCTATAGCGGATTTCCTTCTATTTAGAGCGCTGCTAACCCTATAGTAAGCGACTTAACGCTAGGAATTATAGGAGAAGGTAGTATAGTCCTATATCTTTCCCTATTTGTACTATATGTAGTAGAGCTACTTATTATAGGTTATAGACGTCTTATTAGTAATACGTTACTTAAAGTAGTTAATAGGGGGCGATTACTTTTAGATAGGGCAGAGCTAGTAGAAGGAATTCTACGAGTATTGTTAGTAGACTAGTAGACAAGCTAAGTAGTATTACGTTGCTATGCTAGTGTATGCGAAGCTTATGCTAGATTATCTAGCTATCTATATACTAGGGATAACTACGAGGAGCTTAGAAGGTAGAAGCTATATGCACTTATATAACGCTATAGCTACGAAGCTTATAACGAACTAGCTAGGTATTAATATATAGGTAATGACTATAGCTAGGGGTTTAGGAGATAGAATCTACGCGTAGGTGTACTAGACTATACCTATAATGATTATAATGAACTAACTAATTCCCTATACGCTTAAGGTAAATAGGAGGGGTTTAGTAGCTACTAATCTAAAGTACGTGTTAACTACGAGGATTGCAATAAACGTGCTAAGCCCCTATACGTTAGCAATAAATATAAGGAGTTCGCTAGAGATCGTAGGGTTAGCTTAGAGAATTGTTTAAAGTAATCGTGTATTAGGGCCATCTACTATAGTAGTAGTAGTAGTAGTAATGTACTTAGTAGAGCGCATATACTAACTATTAATATATCTTCCTCTTTAATTTTAATAGTGTCGTTAAGGTTACTAAACTCCTCTTCCCTAAGTAGAGAAGAAGGAGGGCAATCTATAGTAACTTAGGACCCTATAATAGACCTAGCTATATACTAATGATCCTCTATTTAAGGTAGTAGCTAAACTATAGATAGGTCTATTACTATTACTAAGCTACTATCTAAAACCTTGTTTTTAATATAGGTTGCATAAAGTTGTATTAGTTATGTTAACTATAATAGTATAGTATAAACGGAATCTACTTTATTACTTAGTAGTTAATAGGGTAGTATTAAAGTAACATTAGTTAGAGATAATAATATATACTACTTAATAGAGATTACTACTATATATAGATATAGTAAATTAGTATGTTATCGAGTATAGACTACTTTACTAGCTACATAAACTAGAGAAAGGTAGACTTAGGTAGCCATAGTAGTAGTTAGTACGTCGGTAGCTAGTAGGGTCCCTATAGTATAGCTATACTATTCTATATTATATTAAGGTATTAATAATGTATAATTAGCTGTAGTCGATAAGCTTAATATAGGGTATGCTACTATAGTTATAGTATTAGCTAAACTTAGGAGGTTATACGTAGTTAAGGATTTAGTAGTAGTTTTAGCAAACTCCGTTTCTACTAGGGAAGAGCGAGCAAGGGAGCTCTTAAGCTTAAGCTATTGCCTAGTTTCGGTCTATATACTAGCATCCTTAGCATTAGGTAGGGCCTTAATGTTAGATAAAACAGATACTATAGCTACTACCTATAGGGCCCTAGTAGGTAATAGGCTAAAGGTTTCATATAGGAGTACAACGTTAATTATGCCTTATATAATGTCCTTATTCTCTTCGAGTATCATTAGGTTATTAAGCTACTCTATAATGTTAAGGGTTTATAAGATAGGTATAGTACTACCTAGTAGGTAGGAGGATCTATAATAAGATAGGTTCTTAGGCTATAAATCTAAGGGACTAGTTAATGTAGTGTTCTAGGACTATAAGTTATAGGTAAAGGCTATAGAGCTATACGACTAGCTATTCTAACTTCTTTAATTCTAAGTCTACTTTAAAGGGCTAGTAGAGGCTATATTTCTCTACCTTATAGTAGCCTATTAAGTATATAGTCGAGTGTCTAAAGGTTATATTTTAGCTAATATTAGTATCTATACTAGGCCTAATAAGGTAGATAATGTTAATCTTCTAGGTGCTACTACTAAAGCTACTACTACTATACTACTAGATAACGCGATAGGGGTAGGTAATATGTTTATAGCTTACGCACGTCTTCTATCCTTTGCTTTCTATTTTATTGCCTCTTTATAAGCCTCGAGCTCTTTAGGTATAAGGTATATAAGCTTCGCCTTTCTTCCTATAGCGAACGTCCTAAGTAGTTTTAGTGTATTACCTATATAGTAGTCTTAAGGTAGGGTTTTAAAGTCGAGGCACTTATTTAATTTCTTAGTAGAAATAAATCTAAATAATTTACATTTTAAATAAGTATATCCTTAAAGGGGTATAGGAGTTACATATAGACGTAAAACTACCTAGGTAAATTTATGCATATATTACGCTAAGTAAAAAGGTGTAAAAGGTATAATATACTAGTTAAGTAAAAGAAAATGCTAGTTATAGCTATTATTAGGTAGATGACCCTAGTAGTAATATAAAGCTTAGGGCATTTTTATATTAGCTAATAAGATTATAATCTACTATGAGTACTATTCTACTCTCTATTACCCTTTACTTACGTATTATAATGCCCTTTACTTCTACTCTATAACGCCCTTTACTTCTACTCTATAATACCCTTTAACTTCTATACTATAAAACTCTTCCTTTACTTCTACGCTATAATGCCCTTTACTTCTATATTATAACGCCCTTTACTTCTATATTGTAATGCCCTTTACTTCTATATTATAATGCCCTTTACTTCTATATTATAACGCCCTTTACTTAAAAACTACCTAGGTAAATTTACTTAAAAACTACCTAGGTAAATTCACTTAAAAACTACCTAGGTAAATTTATGCGCGTATTATACTAAGTAAGAAGATACAAAAGGCATAATATGCTAGATAAGTAAGAAAGAATACTAATTATAGTTATTATTAGATATAACCCTAGTAGTAATATAGATCTTAGGCGTCTTTATATTAGCTAATTAGATTACGTTTAAAAGTAAACACCCTTCTACTCTATAATGCCCCTTTACTTATATATCGTAATGCCCTTTACTTATATATTGTAATGCCCTTTACTTATGTATTATAATGCCCTTTACTTATATATTATAATGCCCTTTACTTTATAGAATTTATGTAACTTACTATCGCTATTACTATTGTAGCTTAGTCGTTTACTTTAGCGCATTATTCTCTTTTGTTTACTAAGTACGCCCTACGCCTCTAGCATCTCTAATTTTGCTAGCTTAGTTATTATGTTTAGTAACTATATTGCTATATAAAGTAGAAGGTATATAGTATATTATAATGCCCTTTACTTATATATTATAATACTCTTTACTTTATAGAATTTATATAACTTACTATTACTATTACTATTATAGCTTAGTTATTTACTTTAGCGCATTATTCTCTTTCGTTTACTAAGCACGCCCTACGCCTCTAGCATCTCTAATTTTGCTAGCTTAGTTATTATGTTTAGCAACTATGTTACTATATAAAGTAGAAGGTGTGTAGTATAAGCATATAGAAGTATGTCGTAATGCTCTTTACTTATATATTATAGCGCTCTTTACTTAAGTATTATAATGCTCTTTACTTATATATTATAATGCTCTTTACTTATATATTATAATACTCTTTACTTATATATTATAATAGCCTCTACGTATATATCGCATAGTTTTAATGTTCTTTACTAAGGATCCCTACTAAATATATAAGCTAATAAGAGAACGAATAAAACTAAACCTTAAATCTTTCCCTAGATTTTAAATCCTAAACCTAACCCTTTACCTCTAATAACTTATAACTATTACTACGAATACTTTAAATACTTCCTCCTACGTATAACTATAATTAAACAAGATATAAGAAATCTAAATAAGCTATTCTTTTTATAGTATAGCAATTATAAATACTCTACTTCTACTTTAAATATTTATTAACCTAATTAATATAGATTAGACCCCCTAAAATTAAATGGATTAGACCCCCCCAAAATTTCCCCCCCTACCTAAAATTAAATGGATTAAGCCCTAATCTATAACTTTATAGAAGATTAGGGACCTACTAGATACGAAAATTCAAAATATAATTAACTTATAGTATAGGAATCTTAGCATTATCTATAATATCTACTAAGGGACCCCCTAGTTAGTACATTACTATAGTGCCTTTAATAAGTAGATTATTATTAGCTTAGTTAATATTATCTAGAAGTACGTTACCTCCCCTATTAAAGAATATATCTAGCTCTTAATTTAACTACTAGTTAGTAGCACTAAGTAGCTTAGTAGACTTATATAGAACTAGTATAGTATTACTAGTATAGAGGTAGTTAAACATAGTAGTTCTAAGGTATATATAGGCTTAGTAATAGAGGTAGCATTACTAGCTATTAACCTTAATAATCTAATCTACCTCCTTTATATAGATAAAGCTATCTATACTAGGGAACTACTATACTAGCTTAATGTAGCACTACTTAATAATATGCGCTAGAAGGTATTCCTCTTTATCGAAGTTAGCTACATAGTTGCTATACGCCTCTAGAGACTCTAGCTTAACTAGAATTATATAGTCCTCTCTACTAAACTACTTTAGCTAATAAAACATTACTTCTAGAGCTCTAGTAATAGTGTAAGGGCGTACTAGCTACTTATAAATAGAGTAGCTATTCTAGACCTCTATAAAGCTATTACTAATAGAGCGTATAATTAGTACATAGATAGTAGGGAAGGCGATTCTATTAAACAAGTAGAGACTATTATAGAGGCTAAGTACGCTAAGGGTCTTAAACTAAGCTCTCTACGCACTAAGGTTACTAGTAACTAGCTAATACTACTAGAACTTAATACGCTAGTTCTACTTACTAGTACTATATTTAAAATAGTCCTTAAAGGGAATAGGCTCTATTAATCTAAACTATTGTATCTCGTAGTATACTTATGCTACTATTATAGTCTCTACGCTATAGTTAGATTAAACAAATATAGGTTAGAAGCTAGTACTATAGACGGTATAGATATATTAAGTAAGGATAGAGACTATAGAGCGTACTAAGATGCTAATATAGAACTATATAACGTAGTAAGAGAAGGAGTTAATAGCAGCATAGATCTATATACCCTATAGCTTAAGCTTATAGTACGCATCTATAGACTACGTATAATTTAGCCTAGGGAACGTAACCTTACTATAGTAGTATCTAGTCTTCTTCTAACGCTAAGAGTAGCCTTCGCTATAGCCTTTAAGATTAAGAGTACGTATAATAGAATAGAGGCAGTTACTATATTATAGAATGTATTAGTTTATAATTCTTACTAAGGAGCTACTAAGGGACAAAAATGTAGGATTTTAATAGAAGAACTTACTAACTAATAAAGTAATACTTTTGCTATATATACGTATATAACTTTCCTATACTATAGTTATATATATGCCCTTATTAATACTTAGTAGTAAGAGCCTCCTTTATAGTAACTTCTATTCTATCTACCTTCCCTTCTTAAACGTCTATTCGTCGTAGTAGACTAAGTTCCTTCTAGAGTTCTATAACCTTACGCTCTATAATAGGACTAAAGCTATCGTTATTAAGCGTAGATGCTATAAACTTGTTAGTAAAGTTAAACTTCTAGTAGAGCTCCTAGATCTAAACCTTAGTAGCCTCTATATTAGTTAATTTAGTATTTACTTTAATGTTTTACTATACGAGCTACTTACGTAGAGTTTACTCGCTAATATAGACATTATATTATAGATAGGGTATCTTAACTATACGCTTTTAATCTATTCTATTACGTATCTAGCGTATAATATTATCCTTAAAGCTAGTAAGGTCGATAGCCTTACTATAAGGCATAGTAATAGTAAGGGTAATAATATAGTAGTAGGGGCGTTAATAGTAGGCGTATTAGTAATAGTAATATAGAGGGTATAAGTAGAAGGTAGAGTAGTAATAATGACGACGATAATATATTAAAATAATAATAAAGAAAGTAAATAAATAGACCTTTCTAATTCTCTATAAGGGATCTACTAAGAGGCTAAAGCTAGCATTTAGCTAAGGATTTAAGGATTAGAGAATTAGAAAATTAGAGGATTTAAGAAGTTCGCTGTTTTATAGGTATAGTTAACCTTCCTACTAAGGCATAAAGAAGGACTTATATAATAATCTAGCATTAAAATAGGCGCGCTATATAATTATAGTGTAGTAAAATAGTTCTAATATTAGCTTTAAGAAAGAAGGAGTAATATATATAACCTTCCTACATCTCTAAAGAATAAACCTTTATCTAGGACGTATAACGAAATGTAACTTTCTAGAAGGTTAATCCCTTTACTACTTTCGCCTATTAACCTAACTATTACTTTTAATAGTAAGTAATAGGATGCTCTAGCTATTAACTCTAAGTTTCGTTTTTTTTAAGCTAATACTAGAGAAGAGAAGAGTCTAATGTTTTATGTTACTTAGAGACATCTCTATAAGCTAGCCTATAGACTAATCGCGCCTTACGCGGCTATATTACTTTACTTACTTAAGTATTTATAGAATAATAAGAAAGAGTAGGCTATTTTTACTTTTATAGTAGCTAGATAACAATTATATAAGACTATCCTTAGCCTATACGCCTATATCCTTAGAGCTAGCTACCTAAGACCTATCTTACTATAACGCGAATAGATAGTCCCTAAGTCTAATGTCTAAGCACTTTTATCTCCTATCTCTTATATTAATTCCCTTATACGTACTCGCCTATCGCATTAATCTAGCTAAAGCCTTCTATTTAGAAACCCTAACTCTAGCTTATAGTTCGTTAAGGTAGTAAATAATATCTCTCCTCCTTACTAGGACAATTTACTATAATAGCTATCGTAATGATCTTCTTTAGACGGCCATTAACGTTGCATTAGAACGCTTAATATCTGTCTATATCGTATCTCTCTATAGATTCGCTATCGCGTGCTTTATTACGAATTAAGATAACTAGGAAGAATATCCTACGCGGTTTTATTAAGCTTATAAATTTAAGTAATCTCTACTTTACCTTATTAAATTATAGTCTATATTATGAAGAAGCTATATACTACTTTTTCTTTACTAAGAGATCTAGTATCCTATTCTAGGGAAGTAAATATAATCGGTTCCTTAAAGTTAAAGTAGCTATAAAAGCTTACTCTATAGACTAAGTCCCTATCTAAACCCCTAACTCTAGCACCTATTAGATTATAATAGGCTATATCTACTTACTACTATACTAGAGCTTACTTCTTCTATTATATCTATGTCTATTTTAGTAGTAGAGCGTAGAGATATCCTTTGGCCAAAAATTATCTATCTAAAGGAGTTATTAGCCTTTATACTTATCTCTATTAACGTCGACTATAAACACTAAAAGACCTATATAATAGTATCTTTACCTACTAGCTATTAGCTCTATTTAGTTTCTAAGGTCTATAATTCAAATTCTTCTTTCCTGTTTCCTAGACACTTAACTCTATATTAAATAGTCCTCCTATCTTCTAGCTAACTATTAATAATCTTCTAAGCATATTACTATGTAGGCCCTCGAGAACAAGGTTAAGGTAGTATTAGCGTATAAGAAACTTTCTAGCTATGTACTATAAGCTATTTTAGGCGATAGTACACAACATAACGATCGTGGACTAGGAGTATACTAATATATATTAGGGATGAATAGATATAGTAGAACCTTTAGCTTTTGATCTGCTAGCCTAGACTTAAATCTCTCTAAAGCACTAATATCTTTGCCCTTATCTCATGTAGCAAGATCATCGTTTCTGTGGCCATACTCTAGCTCGTCGAACGTGGCTTAATTGGACTTGATTCTAATGTGGGCGTCCTGCTTCCTAAGTTACCTCGGACTGTCATCGCTGAAATCGACGACCACGGGAGCCCTGTACTTAAAGATCGCGACTCGCCGATCAAACTTAATGACCTTCTCACGCACGCAGCTGGACTTCCGTACTTCCACCCTCTTCTGTCGAACTACCTGGACAGCATTGGCAAGAGACCATTGCAAGGCGCGACTGTCGCCGAGCGTTTCGGCCTCCCTCAAGTTGCTGAGCCTGGCGAATCTTTCGATTACGGCTGCTCCTTCGACTGGCTGGGCAAGATCATCGAAAGGTTGACTGAATCTGACCTCGATTCGTATGTCGACGAAAACATTTGCAAGCCACTCGGCATCACAGACATCTTCTTTTCCATGGCTCGCCTTGAAGATCTGCAGCACAGGCTTGTGTCAACAGTCAAGATCGATGAGCAAGGGATGGCAGTACCAGATACGCAAGGCTCGATCAACGACGGCATTACGGAGTGTTTCGGAGGACAGAGCGGGCACGCCAATCTGGACAGTTTGCTGACCATCTTGCAATCGCTGTTGTCCAACGACGGAAGGTTGCTAAAACCAGAAAGCGTTACAGAGATGTTCAAGCCTCAACTTGGCGAATCAAGCAGACGTGCCCTGAACGAACAGATCAAGACTCGAAGTGGTCTTGTACATCTTTTCACCGAAGGCAAGGGTGATTACGATTGGAGCTTCGCAGGAAGAGTAAAGCTTTCCAAGGACGGGACAGTCGAGCGTACTGACTGGTTTGGCATGATGAACACGCATTGGGTGAGCAGTACTTCAACATTTGCGAGAGACCACTCACTGACGCCTTCGGCAGTTCATTGATCACACTCGAAACTTTTGCGGCATCTTTGGCACTCAACTTTTGCCTATGGGCGAACCGGGGGTGGAGAAATTGTGCCTTGAGTGGGTTGATGCAATCAGTCACCAACATGAGGCTGCTGCGTGGAAAGCCTGAGGATAATGAAGTCTGTGACAGCACTCCGCTGTTGTGGAAACTGAGGAAATTATTTGAAAAGGGATGGAAAAGTGGGGTTGATTCAGGTTGGAGATTAAGCGCATTCGCCGTTCTTGGTCGAATCTACAAGATCCACCAGGCGCAGACGCAACATTGCTCTATGATTGCAGCTTAGATACTTAACCTATTACTCTTTCTAGTTTCCTCGACATACCCCATCTTACGTCCTGTCACCCACAACTGAACCTGCTCTGCCTTCTTGTCGGTTTTGGCATTTCCAGGGCTGTATCGGACGACATCGCCTTGTGTGACGTTGAATGAGGTGCATCCGTGCTTCTCACTCGTTTTGTTGTTGATGACCCAGCGTGCAACAAGCTTCATACCAGGATCCCAACCACCTACTGTACCCACGATACCCCCAGTCACCTTGATGACTGGATCAGACTGTCGAGCTAGTGCAGCTTCGTGACCACCGCGACCGATGACCTCGTTCCAGGTGTTTCCGCGCGACGTTCCCAAAGTCAGGTTGGCATGGAGTGGGGTCGCTCCATCTGGGGCATGATCATCGACCCATCTTTTGACAAGTTCAAGATAGTCCCAGGCCTCCATACCTCGGTAGAAACCACCATGCGTCTTTTCCGGAAGAATGGATATCGTAGCCCAGTCTTGTCCACCCAGCGTCTCGACTCGGCTCTTGAATTCAGCCACGCCCTCGTTCAAAAAGTAGTCGTCCCATGTTCCCACGGAAATGTGAACACGATCACGCAAGACTTCGCCCAAGCGCAAGGAGCTGTTCCAGTTGGTGACAATATGATGAGCCAGGTCCATTGATTCCCAATATTTGACAGCTTCGGGGTAGATTTCTCCGGTGACTTTGTTCCATGGCTCCAGAGGATAGCCATTGAGACCTTGTACTCCAAAGACGGCGTTCCAGATATCCCACTGTAGAGAAGAGCGCGAAGAGGTGCCGAAGGTCAGTTCCCAGTGATTCTCCGTGGCGGTGCTGGCCAAGACTTGCTGCGTACCATTGACGAACTCTCGAATCGAAGGTATGTCACTTCCGTTGGGATATTTGTATGCGTTTGTACTATTGTACAAAGGTATAGCTTGATGTTTGTGGAAGTCCAAAGAGTCGGGATAAGACGAGAAACAAGCACCGAAAAGGTCAGGTCGGAAGATCAAATTGGCGGCAGATTCCCATCCTCCGGTCGAGCCACCGTCCTGAATGCGGGCATACGGCTTTGGTATCGTGTTGAAACGTGCTTCGAGATACGGAATCAGCTCTTCATTTATCGCATCACCATATGGACCAAGATTCGCCGTGTTGACAGCGTAAGAGTCATCGTAATAAGGTGTTTCGTGACGGAATGCAATGAGGATCATCTTTGGAGTCTCGCGACTAGTTTTGTTGCCAGATGCGGGAATGACACCCGAGTCCCATGCCTCCTTGAAGCTAGCCTTTGTCGAGTAGGAGTCCGGTCCATCGCCTTCTGCCCAATGATTCTGTGAATATATGACTGGGTATCGAGTGGCGTTGTCATGGGCATTGTAGCCGTGCGGGAGCAGAACGTTCGCACCCAAGAACATGTCACGACCCCAAAAGTCGCTAAGCTTCTTGCTTCGTATCTTGATGTGTTTGAGATACTGCGTGTCTTCATAGTTGCCTTGGGCGCAGCCGCCAACCTCATGACCTGAAAAGTCAAGGAATGGTACCGTATTGTTCCAGAGCAACTTGATAGTCTGTGCCTTGCCCGAGATATGAACATCGATTATGTCAGAAGCCAAGTCGCCAACCCCAGATACAGGGGGGCTTCCGTCACCACAGGGAAACTTGAGTCTCACTACAGATCCATCGCTACGTGTGGCAGTGTCATATCTCTTCAAGAATGCTTGAGCACGGTAGTTGCCAACTGGAATGTCGTTAAGCGTCTCGAGCGGCCAGCCGAAAACGCCTGTGTCGGTATGGTCTCGAGTCCTACCTGAAAGCTTGATCGTGTCGTTGTGGTGAAGGTTGTTGACGTTCATACCGAAGAAGAAATCTTGTGTCGTGGTATCATCAGTGTCGTCAAGAGGATCTGTCCCGTTGGGTGAAAGGATGAACATGACTCTTCCTGTTGTGCCATTTCCGACAGATACTGCTCCAGCAGACAATTGCACACTGATGGCATGAGGGTTGGCAGAAATGATTGGAAGGATGGAAAGCAGGAAGAGAGTGACTAGCGACACCCTCGACATTGAGAGCTTCTGCAGTGAGAAGGTAAGCCGATTCTGCGACATGTTGCAGGATCCGGCTCGACAATTGCTCCGGAGGCACAATGAACAGAGGAACGAATCGCTCAAGGCTGCGAAGATTGTATTTCTTTTGAAGTCCAGGTTTAGAGGGCGGGCTGTGTTCAGTGCTTGCTCATTGAAGATTGATCACCATGCCGAGCATTTGGCTGTACGCCACTTCTTGCTAGCGTTATCGCATACCGAGTGGGGAATGCTTCGCCTTCACTACTATGGCCTTGAGACTACGTCCTGCAAGGTAACAATCTTCTGCACTCTCATGCTACCATCGTTGTGACATCTTTCATTGTTCCTTGTTCCAACTCTTCGGTCTTTGGCCATTGCGATGGGAGATTATTCTAGATGAAGACGGAGATAAACCTGTAAGCCCATGCTCGTATAGACAGGCTAGCGGAATGAGGAAGGTGGTGTACCAGGGTCTACTCTGCTCGACGGGATCCGGTGTTTGTCTGTAATTTTGATAAGACGGAAAAGCAACTTCAGTTTGTCATGCTCATGAGTCGATCTTGGGTCGTGGTATGTAGGCTTCTTCGTGGCCAAAGCATGGAGAAATGTCGCGAAGCTTGGAGGACTGCTCCATAGCCAAACGCCGCGGCCGCCGCTTTGTTATCGATAACAATCATCGAGACTTCGATAACAATCATCGAGACTTCGCACAGGTCGTCAACATCGTCACCAAACACGCTGCAATAACACACAACATCTTCTGTGATAATTCGCCGCGACAGTCGCACGCGTCACGTTAGAAGGCCATCGCTACGTGCTATCAGCACAATTCGCCCGCCCGAAACCGTCGCGCCAAAAGCCGGCAGACGCGAAGTCGTCCTCGTCGCAGTCTCCGAAGCCACTGAACCATCGCCCTTGACACACGACCAGAGTACAGCCATTCCCATCACAAGAGAACCCAGAGTCCGAGCAAACGTCACTTGCGCATCGATACGCTTCCGTCGGCGCCATGGCCCTCCCTAGGTTCCTGCAAGCTCGCGAGTCCCGCCTGGAGTCGAAAGGTGCCTTGCGCCATGATCCTTGAGCATCCGCGCATCGACTGCATCAGCTCAATGATCCGGCCGTCTCCTGAGTCCACCGCCTCTCCGTTCGCCTCCTCCGCCTCCAGATTTCTGTGCGCCTTCCTCCTCTCCATCCCTATCATCCCGACCTCGCAGACCTGGAACACAAGACTCAAGAAGAAACGCGTCAAGAGCAGGAAGTACATAAAACACCCACAACACCGCGCCATCGTACAGCGCCGTCTGCCTATTTGTCGACAACTCAGGTCCTGCCCGATCAAGAGCTGGGGCTGTAAGAGCAAGGATACACAAACAATCTACAACCTTCTGCACCCTCATCGTCATGGTGGGCTACCTGCACCTTGTCCTTCCAGACTCGGCGCTTGAGTGTGTTCGCCCACACGTTCCTCGCGGCAGCCAAAGCACAAAGTCGCGCGAAACTTCTACCAGCATTTGAACCCATGGCCAGTTCAAGAGGACCTTCTTGTAGGTCCAAGCCTTCGCGAAACGCCCACGGTAATGCTCGCTTAGAGCCCCAATCACTCTGAGAAGCCCATAGCAACCTCTTGCTCTCGATTCGCGAACACCGATCCACCATCTCGTCGTCCCGGTGCTTACAAGCCGAGCGATAACGAACAAGGAGCAAAGGTCAGACGAGCATGGCCGTCAAGACTCAAGAGCATGGATGCACACAAATACAGGACCTTCCCGCAGAGGCTACAGTCGTAGCGTCGCCAGCTTGACTTTCATCTTTCATCCCAAGGTGTTCGCGACCTCAGCACTTAATTTGTCAGCTCGTCACAATGTTCCCCCGTCAAGTTATCGTAGTCTACAAACTCCCAAGGCTGCCTCCATGTGCGTTCAATCCTACGGCATTCAGAAACACAGGTCAAAGACGCCTTCGCTTCCGTCCCCTTTGCCATTGGGTTCAGGGAGTTTCCGTCACGACGCCTACCTGCGGATCCTTGTCCTGAAACAGATCGATCTATTCTGGATCTTCGACTGAGTGCAGTCATGATTGCCAATCGCAGGGGCTGCACTACATTCTGCGATCTTCTGACGACCTTTCGTGCTCTACCTGCAACGCATCGTTCCAGTTTTGAAGGTCTACCTTGCACTCGAAAGCCCAAAACGGAGTGAGCCAAGGACCTTGCTACCACCCAAACTTTTCCTGCACCGCTCCACTTTTTGTTGATTGAGACTGATTCCCATCTCTCTCGAGCTTCTGCCTTTCTGTATCGCCACACTGTAAGACTTATGCCATGATACTGTGAATGCCTGGTTCTCCTCTACAGTTCTGGCGCCGCTTCATCCAAGCTTATAGCTAAGTATAGAAGGTGTCCTCGGTCGTACACATACATCGCAGAGCCTCGCAAGGTAGTACCACGCAATACAGACGTCTAAAAAGGGCAAAAGAAGTCTTAAGGGCCTGGTCGATACAGTTAAGTCATCCGAGTCATCTTGCAAAGGATCATCATGATGATGCGAGAGTTTCGGAGCAGGCATGTTGTTGTACGATGTATTGGCACCTATTGTGACGCTACCTATGTCGTTGGCGTTGCTCCCTTCCCGATACGTTTGACCATCTTTGTGGAGCGCTTTTACGGCGTAGCCAGTTCCTGGGCTCGAGTAGGATAGTCACACGTACCTGACGTTTTATTTACAGTAGGGGCCAAGACAGCGTGCCGTGTTGAATCTATAAGTACCAATATGAGTCCCTCTGAACGCTGATATCCAAGACTTCTCAAGCCCCGATCTGAGCGTTGTACTCCGCACAATAAGGATAGTCGATATAGCCATGAGGATCCTGCGTAGCATAAAAGGTTGAGCGATCGTACCCAGTAAGCTCGATGCCGTTTTTGATCTTGAAGACAAGGTCAGGATTGCTGATGAAGTAACGACCGAACACAATGACAACATCAGAGTCTTTGTAGACCTCATCCACGCTCTCACGGGCGCTATCCGGCTTGAACCCTCCGGCAAGGAAGATAGGGGATGTGTGTCCCCAAAGGTCGATGGCGAATCCGTTGGCACCAGAAGAACCATTGCAGTCGCTAGCTCCAGCGATTCTCGACTCCACGAGGTGGAGGTACGCAAGTCCGAAAGTGCGAAGGCTGGAAACAAGGTGCGAGAATTGCGGTATCGGATCCTCCATGTTCATACCCTGGAAGGAACTCCAAGGCGAGAGTCGAAGGCCAACCTTTTCCTTGCCAACAGCATCAACGACCGCCTTTGTGACTTCGAGAGCGAAACGACTTCGATTTTCAATACTTCCACCCCATTTGTCATTGCGCTTGTTGCATGTGTCTTGGGTGAACTGATCAATGAGGTAGCCCTGGAATCAAAGTCAGTCATGCCGATAGCGAACTAAGGCAATGGACGTACATTGGCAGCGTGAATCTCAACTCCATCGAAGCCAGCTTGATGCACAGCAGCACTTGCAGCCCGACCGAAATCAGCAATGAGCTCCAGGATCTCCTCTTCCGACAATTCTTCAGGAACAACGCCACCTTCTTCCATCGGCACTGCGGAACTGCTTTTCAAAGGAAGACCAGTCTCTTTGGAAAGAACTTCAGGCTCTGCCGCGCGACCGAGAGCCCACAACTGGAGGTAGATGTAGCTTCCGGCCTTGTGAACCTCGTCGACAATCGATTTCCAAGCTTCGATCTGCTCTTGGGTGTAGATTCCAGGGACGTTGTGCTGGTTTCCTGCTTTTGCGGAGATGATGGTTCCCTCTGTGATGAGCAGGGTTCCAAGTACAGCCGCAGCGCGTTGTGCGTAATAAGTCTTGCCAAGATCCTGATGGACATGGTCCTCAGAGGCGCGGTACCGGGTGAGCGGCGCCTGTTGGATGATGTTAGTCGTGCAACGACGTTCACTTCAATCCTGTCACTGGACCAACCATGGCTATGCGCGAAGAGAGCTCGATAGCTCCGACCTTCAAGGGGGTGAACAAACGCGTTCCAGTCGACATTTTGATGGTGAGTTGATGGTTTTAAGTGACACAATCGTGTGGGCACCTTTGTCTCTTATACTGCTACAGCGGAGTGTCAGAACCGCCCAACAGAACTGAGAATATTTCTCATGTCTCGCGAATTGATTCTAAATGGCATCATGGTGCTCGATTAGTAAGATCGAGGTGGAGGTAGGCATGAATCATGAGCTCCAAACGTTTGTCCGCAGATTTCCGTGAATGTTTTTGGGTTTTGTGAGATGCTGTCTCTAGGGCAAGAAAGCTCACTAATCAAGAAGGTTTTCTGTTGATGTCGCTTCTGCTGTTTACGAATATCAGTGTATACCTCGAAAAGTGGAGCAGCTCAGTCAGCCACGAGCGAAGTCCAGGGCATGAGTAAGGTGCTCGTAGTAGGCGAACGTTGTGCCAAGCATCGAAGTCTGGTGCTAGCACTTTGCGAAAGCTAATCTTGCACTGTTGAGCTATCCTTACTCATTGCAAGAAGGCCCCGATCCACCTCTGTTTTGCAAATTGCTCGCCAGAAACGACAAACCGATGATGATTTCCCAACATGTCTGAGGGCCCCAAGATGGTTGAGCGCGTACCTGTTGACTGCAACACTTCCATGGCCAGTCAGGTCATCCCAGCAGGGTAGTTTGGTAACATGATTGGCATGAGATCAGGGAAGACCTTGCCAAACTGCGGTGATACAGACCAATGCTTCAGTTCGCGAATGTGCTTCTCAAAAATGGAGTGCAAGACCATATCACCATCGCTTTCAATACAAGCATCAGACAATTCATGCGGCCAGTGTACTTTAACCGCCTGAGTGAAGTTCGCTGTCCATAGGTGATAAGGATAATCATGAGGATACGTAACGATCCTGTCTCGTACCCCTGGCCTGGCAACTGATTAGTCATGTACTCCTAAGGGATTTTTGACTCGGATGCATACCATGGAACATTGTCAATCCATGCAGCGTGAGGAACAGTGATCTGTGTAACAGTCGGCCTCAGCCATTCAGGCATGGATTTATAACTCTTCTGTTCGGGGACAACCATCCACTGACGAAATTAGCAAGCGTGGAAAGTTGAGAACGTACGACTATAATCACCCTCATTGTTCGGTGCATCAGATAGAACAGAGCCAGTTGTTCTGCCTTGCCGACCGATGGAAATGTCAACATCACCTCGCACATGACTTTACTGATTGAATGCACAGAAGAGTCAGGCTGGACATCAAAGAAGCCTCTCACAGATGCACTCTGCGGTCCAGTCACGAACTCCGGTGAAGCCCCATCAGAAAGCGCGTTTCGACTAGTCTGAAGACAGCCAAGTAGAATGTGGTCCAGAGGGCACGTTGCAGGCAGGTGCACTGGTAAGATAGCGCTGACCAATTCGACCGGGTTGCGAAGAGGACTGGCTCTAGCTGATGCATCCATGGGAACGGGAGTGACGGGTGCCGTATTGATTGTAAAGGACGTTATATGCTCGTCCAGGATCTGAGGGTGTCTTGATATCGTGCGCTCTGGGTCAGACGTAACACTTCTTGAGTGAAGAAGTGGGACAACTGTCACGTCGGAGGCCATTGGCGAACCAGACCGAGCGGCAGTGCCACGGTCTGCTGGCAGAGTGACAAACTCATTATGAAAGACAGACGCAGGCAGAGCATTGCGCTCCGACTGAAGGAGCGGGTCATTTGGTCTGGTCTGACCAGTCAAATCGGGTGAGCTCGGCGAAAAGGTCTCGGCGGGAGCATCATCGACCTCCTTTTCCCCTTGTTGACGTGCGTTGGGGAATGCGTGATGGATATCTGCAGCAGTCGTAGCAATGGAAGCGATGCTGTGTAAACGCTGCAAGAGTGTTTCATTTTGCTCGCGAAGACGCTGCGCTTCCTGCAAGAGCCGATTTTCCCGTAACTGCCATTTTGCGCGCAACTCATCAAGCTCCTGTTCTAGACGACGCACATTTTCCTTGTTGCGGTCACGAAAAGCCTGCTGTGCTCGGCGGTCGACGATGCGCTTTTGGCGAAGCTGTTCGGCACTCAAGTTCGATTTGACCCGGGATCTGGACTGGGAAGGGGCTTTCGTTGACGACGAGGTTTCCACGGCAGTTGGAGGATGATCCTGTGCCGTATCGTCATGCATTGACATCAAAGCTGGATGCTGTACAAAATGGAGAGGATGATCAAAGAGGAGATAGAAAGGAATGAATAAGTCGTGGAATGACTAAGTTATCAACGGCTCGTTGTGTCCGTGCCTCGGCTGGACCTACTTTAGACTTTGACAATGACTACAACGGCACCAGGAGATACGAACTACACGCCTCTTGAGTTGTTGAACTGATTGAGCACTACCGCAAACTGGCAGATATTGCTGACCTCTACGCTGTTGTTCTTACACTTCTCCCTAATCTCACTCTCTTACAGTCATCTCTCTGCATCATGGCGACTTCTTCCAGGCCATACAAACTTACCACGCTTGTCAGGCGGAGATCCGACATTACTGAACAAGAATTCCACAAGTATTGGTCTGAGAAACACCCAATCGTTGTCAATGACTGGCTTGCAAGACATGGTGTGGTCAAATATGTCCAGGTAAACACATTCGAAGTTCTCATGAATCACTACCTTGCTAGACTAATGTCTCTTGTCCAGTACCACACACCATTAGAGCTCAGAGAGCAATGCAAGTTCGGTCAGGGCTCAAGTCAGATAGCTGAATTCGATGGTTACGTTGAACTTACTGTTCCAAACATCGAAGTCTTGAAACGTGCTTTCGATGATCCCTTCTACAAGTTGCATGTCGCCCCCGACGAGGCTGTTTTCATAGACGCTCAAGGAACGCGCCGTACATTTGGCTACGAAGAGGTATACATCAAGGATGGAGAGGTCAAAAAGTAGGAAACGTGTTATAGTTCATTCAATGAAACATTCATCGCGTACGCCACCCATACCGATACCGCAATTCACGATGGATCAGTTGAGATGGGCAATCGCTCCTTACCACAAACACATTTACACCCTGCTCTTGATAAAGTTCCACAGACCGCACTGCATGAGTAATGTCAATTCGAATCAATGACCATCTCGGCTGAGTTCATACCCTTGCAACGCAACGATCTGAACATCAAACAAAGCTCTCTCGGCTTGGACTAGGGAAAAGTCAATAGAGAGGTATACGACTGGGCTTGCCTAGATCTTTGTCATTGTCAGCTCTCCAACATTGCGGCTAGCATATTTTTGGGGTATAAAGCGGGGATTCTGCGCCCATGAACACTTCTCGCCCACATCGGATTTCCTACTCTCACTTTTTCGTTGATAATGCGGTGCTCGAAACTCACAGCCCTGCTGAGTTTGACTGGCAGTGTCAACGCCTTTTTCCGCCAGCAAAGATCAGACTTGTACCAGCTGTCTTGTGAAACCGACAACCCAGCTATCGTCAGAGTCTACAATGGCACCATCATTGGCACACACTCGGATACCTATGACCAAGATCACTTTCTTGGTGTCCCATTCGCTCAGCCACCTATCAACGGTCTTCGTTTCCGTAATCCCCAGTCACTGAACACCACCTTCTCAAACAACATCTACCAAGCAACTGAGTACGCTCCAGCTTGCATCGGGTACGGCTCTGGGGAATCAGATCTTCCCCTGTCAGAGGACTGTCTCTATCTGAATGTTATTAGACCCTCGGGCTACGAAAATGTTTCTCTTCCCGTTGGTCTTTGGATCCATGGTGGCGGCTTCACGACTGGCGGATCTCGCATGCCTGGATACAACCTCAGCTACATTGTCGAGAACTCAGTCCGGATTGGTAAACCGATCATTGGTGTTTCCATTGCATATCGTCTCTCTGGCTGGGGATTCTTGGCCTCACAACAGGTGTCGGGTCAGGGTCAAACCAACATTGCGCTGAGAGATCAACGTCTTGCCATGCACTGGACAAAGGAGAACATTGGTGCTTTCGGTGGTGATGCGGAGAAGATCACGATTTGGGGCGAGTCTGCAGGTGCGGCTTCAGTCGGCTTCCAGTTGACGGCATACAACGGCCGCGACGACAATTTGTTCTGGGCAGCCATCATGCAATCCTGCAATCCGATCTTCTACTTCTCCTTCGACGTCGAAGCAGCATACCAACCCGCTTACGATGATCTCGTGAATCTGACCAGTTGTAGCACAGCCATCGACACGCTCGATTGTCTCCGTCATGCCGACTATCAGATTGTCAACGACTTCTTCAACTCTACAGCGGGAAGCAATTGGCAGCCCATTGTCGATGGAGACTTCATCGCCAGATGGGGTAGCCAGCAGCTGGCCGAAGGTGCATTCGTCCACGTGCCAATTATTGATGGCGCAAACAGTGATGAAGGTACTTCTTTCTCACCGGTCGGTGTTAACACAACTCAAGACTTTGCTTCCGATGTTACGGAGCTCGGCAAAGTTCCCGGAGAAGCAACTGGTTATGCTGGCGCAAGTCCGTCACTTGCAGAGTCTTTCTTACCTGAATTACTCGCCGCGTACCCCGACGGGCCTGAATACTGGATTCCGGGTGTTGAGGAGCTAGGCAACACAACCATGAACGACTCTCGCGGTGCGATGTATCGACGCAGCGCTGCATACTGGGGTGATGTACGTATTGTGGCCAATCGTCGAGGAACATGCGAAGCCTGGACGGCTAGAGGCATAGAAGCATATTCCTACCGATTTAACACCAGGTCCACAGGCACCCCAGTGCAGGCTGGAGTACCCCACGCCGAAGAGATCCCATATGTCTTCAACAACACTCGTGGTCTGAGTCGTTCGACCGAGCCAGTCCAGGATCAGCCGCAATCTTACCAGGAGCTCGCAATTCTCATGAGTTCAACATGGGCTTCATTCATCCACGACCGCGATCCTAATAGCTGGATGAGAACGAATGAGACCTCTGCTAGATGGCCGGTATACGAACTGCAAGATCCAAAGGAGATCGTTTGGGATGCAAACGTCACAACCCTTTCTTACGTCGAAGATGATACCTATAGGGCGAAGGGCATCCGTTTCATTCTCGACCATGCATTTGCATACAGACGTTAGTGAAGGCTTGAGTACCGCCGGACTCATCTCCAAACATGGTTATGTCGGCACTGTATCAGGTTGAAAGCTTGGTGGTGCCTAGATCCGTCAGAGTTGGTGTTATGTTGCTTTGTTCGTATGATAGGCAGATAGTACCCGTGTAGAATGAGTAGCATTGCTTTCCCACAAGCAAGTTTGTGCAGCCCCAGAGGCCACTACCTTTCACAGTTCGCCCATCGAATCCGCGACTCTCGATTGTCTGATCAACTTACAGTAGCCCCGTACACTTGTACTAGAGCCGGGGAGGCCACAAACAAGACCTCAGCAGCCTCACGGCGGTCCGACCGAAGGGAACCGTGCCTCGTGCGTAGTGCTTCGTGATGTTCCAGGCATGTTCTTCCTCGCGATATTCTAGCTCTTGAGTGTTTATGATCTCTGCGCCGACTCCCGGATAAGACACGATGGGTGCGCGTTGATGCACCTGCGATTCGAGGCAATGGGAACTGGCGGTTCGAGGACAGGTGTTTTGCCGTGGACAGAAGGTGTGTGCGAGATTTTGGCAGAATAACACTTGGTTTAGACTGGTGGTGGGCGCTGCTGTGGGGCATCTTCAAGCGATGGCATCTTCCAAGGTTGATGAGGGAGAGTGGGAGTCGATCGTGTTTGTGGGATTTGAGCGAGGACGTATTTGACGGCTCGGTTCGGCTTCTTATCGATAAGCAAGGCGGGCACGGATGCGCCCCCTCGAAGACCCCGCCGCAGGCGCTTCGTGGAGTACACATCGCACCAACGACAAGCACCATCACTCTGCGATATATCGTCAAAACATTGACCCGCAGCGCAGGTTCTGAGATATGACTGACAATTGTGATGTTAACAGCATTCTTGCTGCTGTGCCACACCTAAGCCGCGGCCCCGGCGGTGTTGTCGCCGTCGTCAAGGATGACAAGGTGCTTGGACAGCACGCTTGGGGATACGCCGACTTGGAACAGCGCATACCGATGACAACCAAAACTCAGTTCCCGATCTGCTCAATTTCCAAGCAGATGGTTTGCTTGGTCATGGTGTCGCTTCTTAAATGTCCTACCCCCTCAATGGCTGAGCGCGACTGTGATGCCGCGAAACAATTCGAAGACGAGCTACAGAAACTGCTGCCAAACCTTGCATGTGGCGGCGACGACGGCGTGACTGTCGCTGATCTGTACAACATGCAGTCGGGAATCCGCGATTACTGGGCCCTGTGAGTCGTGTCCGTGTTGCATGCATGGTCCAATCGCTAATACGTCAATCATAGGACCACTCTCTGGGGCGCCCATCCTGACGGCAGATTCTCGTATCTTCACGATGCGCCTCAAGCTCTCGAAAGGATCAAGAGCTACCACTTCGCATCTGGCACCGAATACAGCTATTCTAATGTTAACTTCCATGTACTTGGACGCATCTTGGAGAATGTATCTGGTCACTCGCTTGGACAGCTGCTTGCAGAGAGACTATTCATCCCTGCTGGCATGAGTACAGCTAGTCTTTGCCCGAACACCAACGGGCTTCCACTGCCAATTGTCGGATACGAAGGAAACGCAAAGACTGGATACTTTGCTGCGACCAACCGGATAGAATGGGCTGGTGATGCTGGAATCGCCGCCTCCCTCGAGGATATGGTTGCTTACGAGAAGTACCTTAACAAGAGCTTAGCAGACCCTGAGAGTCTCTACGCCACGACATCTCAGCAACAGAAGTTCCGTGATGGCACACTTGCCTCGTATGGATATGGACTTGCGCGACTGAAGATTGCAGGCCAGTCTGCCATCGGTCATGGTGGCGCGCTTCGTGGTTTCCGACATGGGAGATTCCAGATTCCTGGAGAGCGCCTTTCCGTGGTGGTCATGCACAACTTTGAGACCGCGCCAGCTGTTCCTGCCGAGTTCATTGTGAAGAGGTTGCTAAACACATCTGAGCCTGAGCCACAGACTATTGGTATGCCTGCAGCATGGAAGGGCAACTTCCTCGACGATGAAACACAACTCTACGTTGGAGTGGAAGAGGGCGACAGAGAGAAACCTGGGACAATCGCGGTCAACTATGGTCCTGGAAATGCAGGAGAAACTGCCAGACTGACCTCTGAAACGCAAGCCAAGTCTGATAGCATGCAACTTACTCTCGAGGATAATGTCCTCCACGTAAAGCGTATAGACGATAACAGAACCCTGCGAGCGGTACGCCTTCAGGCTGTCGACAAACAAGATCTTGGACAGTCTTCGAGTGAAAACATTGTTGGAATCTACCGCAACGAGGAATGTGATAGTTCATTCACGGTCACTGGAGACTGCGGTTCCCTATACGGCTCTTTTGATGGTTATCTCGGCCGCGGCCCAGCTTGGATCATGCGACAGATAGGCAAGAACAACGTATGGGCTTTGGGAAACCCAAGAGGTTTGGATGCGACTCCTCCTGGAGACTGGACAGTGGTATTCAACGACCAGGAGGATGGGGCATGCAGTAGTGTCACTGTAGGATGTTGGCTTGCCCGTAAGGTCAAATACGTCAGAGTCAAGTGATGAGGACAACAATTCCATGCTCCATAGATTTATCATCGATACATCTGTCTGAACTCGGGACATCCTTCAAACCTTCTCAACAATTTCAACTTGCTGTACAGTCAACCCCTTCTCTTTGATCTCTTCATCAGCATCATGCTTGACTTGCTCGTTCGCAACAGCAGCGACATCAAGAGTCCTTTCTTCGCCGTCGAAGTACTTTGCAATTTCCTCAAGAGGAGTGTAGCGAGTTTCGACGAGGAAGAGGTAGATGACAAGGACTTCAAAGGCGAGGAAGACGCAGTAGCAGATGTAGTACTTCCACTTGAGTGCCTTAAGTGCGATTGCGTTTATGTATTGATCTGTCGGGGATTGTCAGCACAAATCAATGCAGAATGAGTGTGGTTATGCGCACTGAAGAACAGGGAAAGCGTGACGCAGAAGTTGAGCCAGGTGAAGCCCTTAGCACGAAGACCATATGGCATGATCTCAGTCGTGTATGTAGCCATGAGGCCGTTCCTGAATTGGCTGTCAGTGTCATACAAACATGCGAGGAGGTACCTCAACATACTTGAAGTCGTAGAAGAAGCCATAGACAAACAGCATCGCAACGAATGCGGCACCAATAGAAGAGTGAGGTGTGGCAGCATAACGCGCTGCCAAGATAGTCGCAATGTTGAAGACGAAGAAAGTACCGATGGTTGAGATCAGGAACATTGGGCGACGACCCATCTTGTCTGCGAAGAAGGACATACCCATGTTGGTGACGAGGGAAGTTGACTTCATGCTACCGTTGATGCCGAGCTGAGTCTTTGCAGAAGTGATGCCGATATCTTTCATGATCTAGAGCTTGTCAGACAGACAGATGAATTGATCAGATCAGACCTTACAGTAGAGAGATAGTATGAGATAATTCCATTGCCAGACCTGAGAGTATGAGTCATTGGAGCCGAGAAGGGAAGATCTTTGATATTTACCCCTGGGAGAAGAAGCCGATAGCAGTGATGATGCCCAATCTTTTTCTGTTGCCAGGGGTCTTGACGAGGTCGAGCCAGCCAGTGCGGTTGGCCTCTTGGTCCATCTTGATGGCTGCAACGATCTCATTGTAATCAAGCTGCACAAGCTTGTCGTCGCGATCGCCATTGACCGAGTGATACTTGGCAATGATGTCCAATGCTTCCTCGGATCGGCCCTTACTGATGAGCCAACGAGGGGACTCGGGTGTGAATAAGATGGCGATGGAGATGATGATAAAGAAAGTGCATTGAAGCAAAGAGGGTAGACGCCAGGACTCGTCACTAGGAATCTTCAGAGTCGCATATGTCACCCAACTTGCGATGAAAGCGCCAGAGTGATATGAAGCACCAAAAAGAGTGACCAGAACCGCACGGTCTTGTGGTGGCGCAAGCTCAGTGATATGAAGAGGAGCAGATCCAAGAACAATACAGTCGCCAAATCCAATCAGAAGCCTGCTGGCAACGAACATTCCAAAGTTGGCGGCGCCTGTCTGGAGACCAACACCGAGACACATGATTACTGATCCGATGAGAACACCGGCGCGACGACCGAGCAAGTCGATGGTGTAGGCCACGAAGAAAAGGCCGATCAGCGAACCAAGACTCATGGAGGCGTTGAAAAGGCCGAGAATGGAGCCAGAGGGGTGATTAAAGGATTCCTGCCAGTATGAGAGACTTTGAAGACCGTTCATCATGGAGCGATCAAAATCATTGGCGGTGTTGGTCATGATCATGACGACAAGCAAGAAGTAGAGCTTCCTCATTGGGCCAGAACTCCACCACTTGACACGCTCAATGGTGTGTCCAGCAAAGAAGAAGTGACCCTGCGGAGTCTTGACCGGTACAGCAAGCGTGCGAGGCTTTGTGAATTGAGGCATGATGACAGAGTATTGCAGCTGAAAGACTGCGATTGAACAATGGATGAATGTGTATGTCGAAAGGAGAAGTAGCGCTACAATCTTATAGATCTTCAATCGCATGGTCGTGTGCTCACAGGCTCAAAGACTGTCCGGTCCATCGTCGAAGGATTGCAACACACAACCTGAGTTCGAGTCCAAGAAACTCGGTCGGGTTCTTCAATAACTCCTATACCAGCTCAATCTTGGTTGTGTGGCTCCTTCAACTCGCTCTAGTTCAAGACAAGACCATCCAACTTGGCGCAAGTCGCAGGCTAAACATCAATGAGTGTCGGGTCGGATTACCACAACGTGAATAGATGAAGCTGGCTATGATAGTAGCCGTTGTGGTATGCCAAGGGGGCCGAGAGTCCTTGGTGTGGTGTTACTGGCTTGGACGACCTCTCGATAATCCATGTCGCGGCAATCGTGTTTCGAAGAACGTTATAGTAGCCTGCAGTGACCAAGGCGCTACCAGAAGCAGGCGGATACCTGATGCATCTGCAAGACTATGATATAAAGGGCATTGGACACGTCTAGATTTCCTGATATACCACGAGTGAGTCAGTGTGGTTGATCGGCTGCAGGAGCTCATGTGAATCAGACGATCGACCCTGGGATGAGGATGGCAAGGCGTTCTGCATGGTCCTGGTCCGATGACTACAATCAGTCTTTTCGAGATTGACTTGTCCACAGGCAAGAAGTTGTCCAAAGAACAGATTGTGTGGAAAGGAACTGGCGGCAACTGTCCTGAAGACCCGCATATCTATAAGAAAGATTGTTTTTACTATCTACTGATCTCCGAAGGTGGCACATTCCAGGACCACATGATCACCGTCGCCAGATCGAGCAACATCTGGGGTCCATACGAGAGTCACGAGAAGAATCCAATCTTGACTGCAGTCTGCAGCCGGAACAGACAACTACATTCGTTGCACTGAACATTGCGATATGTTCCAGGATGAGCAGGACAGATGGTGGGGTGTATGTCTCGGTATGCGCATGCGAGACTCGAGGTTCATGATGGGTCGCGAGTCCTTCCTGGTCTCCGGGAAATGGGAGCAAGATGGCTGGCCAAATATTGACACGGTTTAGGTCACTTTCTCGCACCACTTCAAGACCACCATCATCGAATCGCCAAAGAGCGGTCTGGACTGGCTGTACATTCGTAATGCAAATCTGCAAGATCACGAGATCGATGACAGATCAATTTGTCTCTTACCGAGCAAAGCGGATCTTTCGCGATGGCAGGAGCCTGTTTCGTTTGTCGGCAAACGGCAGAGAAAGCTTGAGGGCCATACTTCAGTGATTCTGACGGCCTCAAAGGACGGTCTTTGCCGAGCGGGCTTGGTAAACTACAAAGACGAACACCCCTACACTCGAATCTGGTATGATAGCGGCAAAAGAATTGTCCGCTTTGGAGTCATCAACAACGCAAAGAAGATTTCACGAGGTCACGAAGCCAAGATTGAGAATGACATTGAGGAGCTTCATTTATTGATTAAGTATACTAAGAAGCAACTCGTCCTTCAGTACATGGAGGAGGATGGGGCGTTAGAGACCATTGGAACCGTTGATACGGAAGAGCTTTCGAATGCAAACTTTGTCGGCCCTATCATTGGCGTGTTCGCGACATCAGACAGCAATTGCTCTCCGCCAGTGCTGTTCAAGAATTTCAGAATCGATCAGTGATATTATCAGGTACCAGGTACAGACTGTAGCTATCCTTAAAGACTCTCTTCGATCTTGGAAACTTCAGCCATAACCTTCTTGACGGCTTCCATTGCTGGTTTTGGCACAGGCTCGTAAGGGTGTCTGGGTGCCAATTTCTCTTCCGCATTGTCAATCTTCGCCAAACGTGCCGAATACATAGCCACAGCATACTTGGTCGATGCAATACCACCTTTACATGGTGATTCTGCAAGAGCAGCCTTTTGTTGCAGCTTGGTCGCCTCTTCAAAGCGTCCTTCCCCGTACAGCTCGAAGATCCTTACTGTAACCTTGGGGAAAACGTTTGCGAAGGCAGCGATGCAGCCAGCGCTTCCTGATGCCAACCCACCGATCAAGAAGTCGGATTGACCACCATAGATGGCGAATTCTGATGGAGAGAATGTACCTGCAAGACGCGAGATCTTGCCAACAGAAGCACATGTGAGCTTCACACCAACCACGTTAGATCTGCCGCCACTTTGTTCAGCAGACTCCTTGACAATGGCCGTCATGGTTTCAGAGTCCAAGTCGACACCATTTGCGACTCCAGGAAAGTTGTAAAGGACAACAGGCAGAGGTGATTCGGCAGCCATGGTTGAGAAGAAACGTTTGACTACGTTCATGCTGGTTGCTTTTCCAAAGTACGCCGGAGGTAGTACTAGGACATAGTCGGCACCGGCATTTGCAGCATCGTGAGCAAACTCGAGCGATTGCTTGGTGCTGTGAGATCCGATACCCGCCATCAAAGGGAAATCCGGACCGGCAGCAGCGCGAGCGGTCGATATCAATTGATAACGTTCCTCGCGTGTAAGAAGAAATGCCTCAGAGTTGGTGCCCAGAATTACCAAGCCAGCAAGGCCAGTCTTTGCAAGGTAGCTGAAATACTTGGTCTGTGCATCAAAATCGATGGTATCGTCGGCATGGCTGAAAAAGGTGATGGCAGGACACCAAACTCCTGCAGCTGGGACATGAGACTTGGGCGTGGTCTGAGGTGCTGAAGCGCCCATGGTGAGGTATTATCGAAAGTCGGGATGATTAACCTGGAAGTGAAGTCTGTCGCAGTCGCAGAAGCAGTTTGATCTTGATGGTGTATGCTCCGAGAAGACGGGCCTTCTTCATATATAAGTGATATGGAGCTGACCCGAACAGCATCTCGGGGCACACTCCTTGTCGAGCGGCTCTAACCATGCGCTTGCCCGAGTATCATGTTCTGATATCTTGATGGCTTCATATACAGGGCGATGTTCCTCGCGCGTGAATCCGAGTGGATGCGCATGTCGGAAACGTAGCCGATCGGTGATTGCAGGAAGAAGTAGCAGCAAGCACAGAGGCGATCAATGAGAACGACTGTGGAGTTGCCGAGATGGTGCCGAAGTAGGGGTTTTTTGGCATCCTAACTCTGGCCACCAAGATCATCTACAATGAATTGCACTGTCATGGGTGGCACTGGTATGTGAGCCAGACAAGACTCTGCGTTCATCTGATATCGGTTCAAATTTGACATTACGATTGCGCCAATGTCACCGCGGGTCGCTGATGGAGCGGTGTTGGTCGGGGGCATTCACTCGGATGTCTTGTCGGTTCAATCTCAGGGAACAGAAGAGGTTTCGAAAAGATGGAACTACCATCGATGTACTCAATTATTGCTACCTTGAGCCACAACTGTACAAAAGTGGTCAGGGGACTCTTTACCTAAGTGACGATCAGCCATATGGATCTTCGTCGGGTCGCTTTCCGATCCATTGTCATCGGTGTAATCGGACGACGGAAATCATCGATTCTTGTATTGCATCCAATGATGAGTGGGCTTTATAGATCTCGGACTACAAGCATCCACCTTCTGACAGTTTCAACCACGAAGCCACATCTCGGTACCAACATTTACAAGACGACGATGATGACATCTACAGAAACAACGACAGTATCTCTCGCAATGGCAACAGACACCCATACATCTTGGTTTGATCGTGCTACATTCTATCCACCCGATCCCATTTTCGCTTTGACAGCCGGTTTCATCGCAGACCCTGATCCAAACAAGGTCAATCTTGGACAGGGGACTTATCGCGACGACGAAGGCAAGCCATGGATACTCTCATCTGTTCATCAGGCTCGTGAAAAACTCATCTCGCAAAAGCTTTACCATGAGTACTTGCCTATTCTCGGCCTTGCTGAGTTTAGAAGTCGAGCTGCTGAGGTTGCATTGGGTACTCGCATCTATCGTGAGCACAAAGAGACGGTCAGAGATCCAAACGAATCATATGATCCCTGAGGTCAAAGAACTGACATCCATATAGCTTGCAACATGCCAGAGCTTGTCCGGAACAGGATCATTGCATCTGACTGGCCTTCTGTTGAGAGCTGTCTTGAATCCTCTGCCTAAGGTTTTCATTCCTGAGCCAACTTGGTCCAACCACCACCAGATCTTCAGAGCGTTGGGTTTTGAATGTCAATCATTCCCATATTACGACTATGCAAACAAAACTCTAGACTTTGATTCCTACATCTCGACTCTGGAATCTGCAGAGCCCCACTCCATCTTCATCCTCCATGCTTGCGCTCACAATCCTACTGGATGCGACCCCAGCAAATCTCAATGGGAGCAAATTGGGCAGATTTTCAAAGATAGGCAGCTGTTTCCACTGTTCGACGCTGCATATCTTGGCTTCAACTCAGGAGATGTTGATGAGGATGCATTTGCCATTCGATACTTCGTCGATGACCTAGAGCTGGAGACCGCTGTGTGCATGTCATTTGCAAAGAACATGGGCCTGTACGGTACGTCAGTTGTCCTTCCTTCGAGCGTTTCATTGCATACTGATCTCCAGATATAAGGCGAGCGAGTCGGATGCACGGTTTTGGTTGCGAAGAACTCATTAACCGCACGAAACACAGAATCAATGCTTGAGATGCTGCAGAGATCAGAAGTGTCCAACCCGCCCGGGTTTGGCGCAAAGATAGCAAGCACTGTACTTGGAGATGAACAGTTGAAGGGGGCCTGGTATGAAGACATGGTGACTATGAGTGGACGTATAAGGTCTATGAGAACTCAGCTGCATGATTTGCTCGTTTCGCAAGGTAAGTTGATGTGGAATTTGCTTTCCCAAAGCAGAACAGCAACTAACGAACAAAGCGACGCCCGGTAGTTGGAACCATCTTGTGAATCAGACCGGAATGTTCGGCTTCCTTGGATTATCGCCAAAAGTGGTCGAACAGCTCAGAGGTCGGTCCGATAAACACGAGATATGATTATATCGCTAACACAATACGTTCAAGATCAGTACTATATCTACATGTCGGCTAATTCTCGAATCTCCCTTGCGGGACTTAACTCACACAATGTGGAGTATGTTGCTCGCTCCATCAAGACATGCTTGGAAGATCAGCAATTTTGAAGGTTTTGTTTACCCAAAGAAGGGCATCGGTCCCGAGTCCGAGATCATCAAAGTCGTGTTTTGGGTGAGGGGCAAGTTTGCTCTTGACACCATCGGAATGGCATCCGATTATTTCTGTTTGGGCTCGTAGCAGTCACTTAGTTCGTATCAGCTGGAGTGGAAACTACAGTATATGGTCCAGGGACGAAATATCATCTCATTCATAGTGAAGCCGATCTGGTCGCTGTTCGATGACAATCCGCAATGCTTTCTGCCTGAGCGATCTTACTCTTTGAAACTTCACTTGGTGATCTCTACAACATCATGAACACAATCATCGCAGGCAGCAAAGACACATCTAGTCCAACAGTGCGAGGAAAGCCTCTCAAGGAGGGCAAAAGTCGGCTTTTCCCATTGTTCTTTGGAGACGTCGCGGCTGCAGCTATTTCAGCAACACTTGTTGCTCCCATTGTGACAATCATTGACAGGTTAGTACAACAACCATACGAGCGGGCGATTCAGCTGAAGTATGGGCGCACAGAGCGGTCGTCGAAAAAATATCATTACGGCAATCAGTCCTTCGGAATATCGGGCGACAAGCCCTCTCCGTGTTGCGATCTCCGTTGGCTTTCTTGTCATCACGACCATTCGGCACTGTCTGGACACTCTATGCTGTAACATATGGCGTTGCGAACTCGGCCGAGACTTTTGGGGCTGCAATCAACACGAAACATGTGGATAGTGTGGTCTTTGCTTCCACACTTCTTGTAAATGTCCCACTGGGGTTACGAAAGGACGTTCGCTTTGTGCAACTGTTCGGCGAGCGAAGCAGCATCCCACCAAGTATCTTGACGCCAAACCAGGCCGCCACAAGCAAAGCTATCATGCCAACCGTACCAAAGCTCGGGTTCTCGAGATATGCAATGACTGCTTTCCTTGCTCGAGATGCATTCACAATCTTTGGTTCTTTCGTGTTGCCGCCTCGGGTAGCAGCAGCTATTCCTGACGACGCAAACTTGAGCCCCCGAGCTCAGATGGCGATTAGTCAATTGTCGATTCCTGCTGTTATACAGCTCGCGACAGCACCTCTACACATGCTCGGTCTAGATCTTGCGGCAAGACCTTCTCAGATGGCATATTCTGCCCGTGCCAAGCAGGTCCGCTATGGTCTTGTATCTATAGCTTTCATCAGGGCTGCCCGCATCTTGCCGGCATTTGGGTTCGGATGCATCTTGAATGGGGAATTGAAGGAAGCGTTTCGCGAGAAACTGGCAGATAGTTACAAGCAGGGCTAGATCATACAAATGACGTGATTGGACTCTAGCATACAGAGCATTCCGATATATCAATAACTCATGTTGAAGATCTTTCCTCTAGCCCAAGAAAAACGTGTCGTTCTTGACAGTAGTTCAGCAAGTGTGTTTCCCGACCGATATACTTACAAAAGGTCTGCCGAAGCAAGTCAGCTCAGTACGCATGAGACTGACCAGCCGACTGAAGACGGCGGCAGAAGTCACTGGAAACTGGGGATAGTGTAAGCATTAACACTTTCTCACATCATAGCAAGGTGTCATGTCGGATTTTGAGTACTGAGAACACATAATTTCATAAAGCATTAGAAAGCTAATACGTAAGCTTAGGGACTAATGAACATGCCCTTCATTCTCCTCCAAGCCTCGCTCCTCAAAGCATTTAACTCATCTCCAGTCCTTGAAACAGCATCCCTGTTCTCCACAGCTCTCCTCAGAAGATATGCCAAACATTCGCTCATACTTCCCCATGTTGAACACTTGTAGACTTCTGGCGTCTGGCCATCCTTTTGCTTCAAAGCAAGAAGGCCAAAGCTGACTTCGTCAGACATGCCTTGCAGCTGTCCGAAGCCAACTGGGACAGTGGGCAGACCGACTTGGATCCGGCTTTGGTGCAGAGCATGAGCAGCGAGCACACTCGGTTTGTTGTGAGAGGCTAAAAACAAGTTTACCTTGGGGAATGGAAGACCATCACCTCCATACTTTCCGATTTCTTGTTTCAATGCTCCAAGGGCAATGGTGTTGTAGGCGCTATCAGTGTCTTCCTTGGTATCATGAATGAGAGATCGTTCATCAGAATTGATGTAAGCTCCTCTGACGAGCTTGAGACCAAGGGTGAAGTTTTCTTTGCTCGCTGCCTCCATGTGTTTCTGGATTGTCGAGGCGGTTGACTTGAGGTATGCTTGATAGGTGTTGTAGATGATAGCGCGGTCTGACCTGTTGAACTTTCGCATCAGGTTGAGTGTGGTGTCCAAGATTCCCCACTGGAATCTCTGGGACTCAGCGTCAACCAAGATACGAACGTCTCGCTGTTGACACTTGGTCGCGATTTCATCAAGGGCGTCGGTCATCTGCTTTGGTAGAGGTATCTGGTCGGCAAAGGCTGCTGTCACTGTAGGTCCGGCTCCGGTCAATCTGTACTGGAATTAGCAAGCTGGCAGGGAGGTGAAAAGAAGGAACACTTACTTGACTGCTAGATAGTCGGTACCCTCCAGCAGATCTATCGTTTCCAGCGTGCCCTTTCTCCATGTATCGATGTCGGCATTCTGCGTGTTGACAGATTCCACTGGCAGTCCTTTCTCTTTATTGATCAACAACGCTTCTCCAACACCATGTTCTGTCTTGGTTCGATGATCAAAGACAGTCTCCTTTGCAAAAGTCATGATCACTCCTCGAAATCCCATATCCTTTAGACCTTTGATGGTCGAAACTGTATCCTTTCGAGTTTCTCCAGCGCAAAACTGATCGTAGAATGTCTTTCTCAAGATGGCGTGGATAAATGGATTCTTGTCCACGCTAAGGAGGCGGCTTCCACCCGGCTTCGAAAGAAAGGATAGGAGCTTCAGACAAGGAACTAGAAGGTAACTCTTGGAAGATATGGTGGCGATCAGCAACGATCTTCCCAACATCTTGTTGGGCAAGGCAGATAAGCCAGAGGCAATCGGCAGAGGCTCCTTCGTCACTGCATGAGATTGAATGGTATGAGCTGCACGACTCTGGAGGAACATCGGTGCAGACATGTTATGCTTGGATGCGTTGCATGCACGCAGCATCCTGACAAGAGGGCGTCCAGGGGGCAATCTTGCCATCGTGCTTGGTCGAGTATTGGAAGATGTAGTAGGTAGATAGAGAAGGAAGCTTTTGGAAGGTGTCAGAGTATGTACTGCAAAGAATAGGTGATACAGTCTTGGGGATACACAATTGATAGAGGTGTTCTTTATGCCATGACCTGTCTTGCTCGTCTTGTAATTTAATTGGTGCATCGGATGGACTACCGACGTGACTATTGGCTCTGGAAAGCTGATATCTTGTGAAGCATGAGGGATACCTTACCCCGCATGGCCCCTCGATAAGGTTCCATGCTATCTCCCGTTGTCGGTCGTCTCTTTCCACGGTCAAGGCATCTTTGCTAGCTCACAAGAGGAGTTGCCTGCCCGAGAATACGGCCTGGCCAAGGTAACGTATCTTGGACCATCGGGAAGCTCGATTCACCTGGAAAGGATCTCATTACGCAATGTGGAAAAGACATGCGAGAGAATTTCAGTCTCTAAAGTTAAATCGGAAGTATTGTTTGTCATGATTCGGGTTGAGGCGACATCAGCAGGTGTTGTACGTACGTGCGTCCTCGATGTTCTTCAATGCTAGATCTATTCTCTTGAAATTATGGACCCTGTGATGTCTCATGAGTAGAGCATGCTATCCACAGACCAATCGAATCCTTCAACATCCAGAGACTCTGCGATCTCCATCATCTGAGTTGTGGTCATCGAAAACTGCCAATCGGCATCTCCAACCCCAGCATTCATCAATGGCGAATCATCAGAGGGATCAAGCGATTTTGTCTGAGCAGAGTTTGATGGTTCGCGGTCTGGTGGTAGGTTCGTTACTTCGTTGTACGAGGGAAGCATTGCCCCGGTCAATGTTCGCTCCAGATTTTGCAATTGTGCTTGTATAAACCCTGAGATTAAATTGCCTCGTGATTGCATCTCACTGAGTATCGAGTGAGAACGTTGAAGCCACTGAAAATCGCCAGCCAGGAGTGAGTTGTCTATTACTGATGCCATTAGTAAAACCAGGGTCGAACTGTAAGCTGAGTCGAGGTCAAAGGATAGAAAGCATTCTGCCAGATTAGTCACATGCACATCAGATTTGATTGGATGATTTACCTAGAAGTCCTTGTTCTTGAAGCTGAGTCAGTATCCTTAGATTCTGGAAGGACGATTCAAGGCACATCCGAAGCAATGCTTTCACGCTTTCGTAGCGACGTTGACCAAGTTGTCGCGACTGAAGCTTTGCCTCTAGAAACGTGAATAGCAATGGTCTCGTCGCGAGAATAATGCACTATTTGCTGATTAGCGAGAATTCTTGAGTCTGCGAACCTGCTGCATTACCTGATGATGGAGCAAGTGGAGGTATGCTGCCAGCCTAGAAACCCCGGCGTCATGCATGATATCAAATGAACGATGCAGCTGATCAGTGACGCTAGCGATGTCTTTGAGGGCGTCCTTCGTGTTTGCTACATATCGGACGTCGAGACGTCCTTCAGGACCATACACGTCTATAAGAGATCAGCTACTGTCTCACTTACACATAAGTATTATCTTACTGTTAGCTATCTTTGCGATGACTCGGGAAAGCTTGACCTGGATATCGAGAGCCATGGCTTTTTGCGACTTCAACGGATCGTATGGTAGCTCAGCACTTATATCCTCATCTCTGATTGATGTGGGAAGCCCCATCAAGGATGAGAGCTGACGATCAAGGATGTAGACAGTCCAGAAAATGTTCCGACACCTTCGAACATGGTGTTCTGGAATGTGTTGACTTTGCATATCGGTGTGCATGCCGTGTTCGAGGGCAATACCAAGTGCTTGTCGAATCTATGATATGGTTTTAGAAAGCAATTACATCGCAACTTGAGGACACACTTACGAGGATGTATGCTGGACTTCTGTAGTCCAAAGATTGCAGATACAGACAAGCACAGCACAAGATCTCTATGGTCTGCACAGGACGTACGCACAGGAAGGTCGTATCCGGCAGCAGTTGCATAGCTTGTACAAAGAGCTCGGCGCCTGGAGGTCTTCTACCTCTTGTTCCTCGGGCTAAAAATGCTTTACCAAATGCGAGGATAAGGAGATAGTGAACAAACCATAGCGGCATCAAGGAAGATTTGTCGATCACAGTTGGATCATGAAAGATTGCGAAACATCGCATGAAAGTCTCCTCGTCGAAAAGATGGAACATCTGCCCACAATGAAACTTCACGGCATTGATCAGATAGATGGCATGATCCGCCGTTGGCAAAGTAGCTGGTTCCATGGGAGATGTTGAGGCGAAGGGTCCTCTGGTGCCGTCCCATCCTAGATCATATATCTCACTTTGAAAGAATAAACTCTCTTGCCCTGGCATGGAGCCAAGTATCTGTTCATGAGACATGACCAGTACCCGTCGACCAAATGCCCAGTTTGATGAAGTGCCTAGATATACGGGCACATCACCGCGTGAGGCTGGCGCATATGCCGAAGCGCCCAGAGCAAAAGGATTCATGAGACGAGGCTCGGGTGACAATGACCTTGAGCTGATTACAGGCTCTGTTCCGTCTGCGGCAGTGAATGATGTTAAGGGTACCAGATGCTCAACTGGCTCAATCTGAACTAATGAGTCAGCTGGAGTTGGCGCTGTGACTGTTTCCAGGAGCTGTTGGGTGCTGTCCGATGGATTAGGCTCCGTCACCTCATGACTACGCTGGGGTCCTGCTCAACTGTGTGAGGATCGGCGAGGAGAGTATAGACAGAGACCCTTACCTTCGGGAGACTGATAATGCTGGTCAACACTGCTCGTTGCTCGCTCACTTCTCGATGCGGTTTCTTCGTATGATGCAACTTTTGCCTCCAGATTGTTGATGAAGCTGTGCGATGTCAGGCACATATCGCAAGATCCTGATAAACAAGTTTTGGAGACCTTTTCGTCACCAATATCTTCTGCTGGCTATCGTCAAAGTTGCAGACTAATTTGCGCTTGGTGCATTGTTCACAAGGGAAAGAGCCCCTGCATTTGATCTTCTGTTGGCGGCATCGCGTGCACCTGGTAAAGTGATCAGGAATGTGCGTGCATAACTGTGCAATATGACATAAACCTACGCATTCGGAACTCTCTTTCTTACTGATTGATTGTTCTTCCGACTGCTCATTTTCTTGTTCTGAGATTGATTTGGCAGCCGCGATGCTGTCTACAGACCATCGGGTAGGTACCCGGTGACTATATAGTCCATCGTGGGCTGACTCTTAGGGCGGGGCTGATGTTTAACCCCGCACGATAGGCAAGCTTTGCCCGATAGGCAAAGTCCTCGTTACGTTATTCGCCGCAAATCCTCCACCGTCTGGCTGCCAGAACGTGTCACCTGTCGCAGCTCACATCCTATGGCTTGTGTGATGGTATCTCTCCCCTGCATGTATTGTACTCTGTACAGACATGACATCGGCGGAGCTTCCGGTACCCGCACTGAACTGCCAGATCCATGCCCGATAACCTTGTCGCCCTGACGATGATTGGACTCAATAATAATGTAGCATCCGCCATATTCTTCTGCCCGCTTCGGTCAGTATCAGAAACTGTGCAACAATGTCCGACAAACACTCTCCAATCATTATTGTTGGTGGCGGCGCTTGGGGTCTCTCCACCGCCCTTCACCTCAATGCTTCAGGTCACACGAATGTCACTGTATTCGAAAGAGCACAGACAATCCCTTCTCCATACTCAGCTGCATATGATTTGAACAAGATTGTGAGACCTGAGTATGAAGATCCTTTTTACACCGATCTTGCCTTGGTATGTCCTATGCAGATTGATCTATCGCATACGTTTCCTGATATAGATCCAGGAAGCAATTGAGGGGTGGAAGACTCCTCTCTTTGGCCCATACTTCCATCAGACTGGATACCTTGTGACCACAACAGGGGCTGCTCCACCGAAAGCGACTCGTCACCTCCATGAAGCTTTAGCAACTATCCAACATCATCCAGTCTTCAAATCCAAGATTACGCCTTTGGCTGGTAGGGACCAGTTCCGAGACTTTGCATGGCAGTTCACTGGACCTTTGAGCGGTTTCTCTGGATACTTCAACAGACTGGCTGGTTACGCGCATTCATCTGACGCGCTGCATGGCGCTTGGCTACACCTTGCCTCTGTTGGCGTGAAGTTCATCTTGGGCGAATCAGCTGGCAAGGCGACCGAAGTGCTCTATGAGACATTGCCTTCGAGCTCTCATCTTCGCGTCGTTGGAATTCGGACAGCCGATGGCAAGGTTCATCAGGCAAAGACGACCATTGTCGCGATGGGAGCGCACGCCGCCTCTCTCGTCCCTTCTCTTGGGAAATTCGCCATGGCTCGATGCTGGTCTGTTGCCCACGTCCAATTGACTAAATCAGAGTGCGACCTTCTTCGGGGAATTCCCACTACCAACGTGCGTGATCTGGGCTTCTTCTTCGAGCCAGATCCAGAGACTCGTCTCTTCAAGCTTTGTCCGCTTGGTGCAGGTTTTACGAACAACCAACAAGGCCTATCGCTCCCTCCCTCGGAACGTCTCCCAGCTCCTCAAGACTTCATCCCCGCCGAAGATGAGCGTAAATTGCGAAGACTCCTTCAAGAAGTCTTTCCATGGATGGCAAACCGACCTTTCGTAGACCAGAAGCTTTGTTGGTTTGCAGACACAATCGACTCCAACTTCTGCATTGACTTCGTCCCCGATACGCATAAATCACTGATCATTCTTTCTGGCGATTCTGGTCACGGCTTCAAGATGATGCCTATCGTCGGCAAATGGGTCACAGAGCTTCTTGCGAAGGGGAAGCAAGATGAGGAGCGTTGGCAATGGCGGACTGTAGATACCCGAGGCGAAGACTGGGCCAAAGCAGTCAGCTGGAGAATTGGTAGTACCCGTGAGTTGAAAGACTTAATCTCGGAGAAGAAGCGATTGGAATCTGCTCGTTTGTAGTTGCTCTAGAGTGTTAATTGTTTTGTCGCAATATCAATCTTATAATTTCCATTTCAATCTTGCGACCATAGTGGCTTTATACTTGTAGAATTCCTTTCATCAGATCCAATTTGTCAATGCAATTGAAACTTTCGTTGAGTAGAATTTGCTTCTAGAGTTTTGTTTTCCCTGATCGGAGTGTACCATGTATCAAGGAGGTGATTGCAAATTCTCATGCACACCATATCCTTCCGATGCTAGCTTGGTCACACTACATGAGTTACATCAAGAACGATGGCAGACAGTTGTAACGCAAGACACATGGGTTGTCGTCCGGCATCTCACGCTGGAAGTACTTGCCAGATTGGGACTTTCGCGCTACGGATGGTCACCCGACAAGTGGGGGAATCCACGTCTCCATCTCAGATCTCGGACAGACACCCGACGTGGACTACAAGCTACCACGGCAAGAGACACGATGATAGGCCTTTTGGATCAATAGTAGCTCACTCTTTTCGGCCGTGATTGGCCGGACAAGCTTCGAATAGAAAAAGATATATCACTGCCATCCGCAGCAGAATTATAAACACATCACTCACTCACCACCATCTTCCACAATTGCAATGTCTAAGATCCTCCGCAGCAATCCACTTGCTCGCAACAGCCGTCGTGCGTTCCCTTCAGGAGTAGCACAAAGGCGATTGGTGTCAACCGCCTACAAGCTTCCACCGTCATACAACGAACCCAATGTATGATCATTAATTCACAACATTGCATCCTACAGTCACTGATTTGCATGTAGCTTCATTACCGTACTGCTTCTCCAGAGAGGGAAAAGCTGGTTACTGCTTTGAGCAAACTGAGAGAGCAACTGCCAATCTCAGTGCCAACAGTGAAGAATGGCAAGGAGATCGCAAGCAAGGATGAGCAACACACATTGATGCCATCCGAGATTGCAACACAATTTGCCAAATACTCTCCCGCCACCAAACAGGACGTCGAGGCCGCCATCGCCGCCGCATTGGAAGCCAAACAATCATGGGCCGAAACTTCCTTCCACGACCGCGCTGCCATCTTCCTCCGCGCTGCAGATCTGGTTTCGAACAAGTACCGTTATGAACTCATGGCTGCCACTATGCTCGGTCAGGGCAAAAATGCCTGGCAGGCTGAAATCGACGCTGCCGCAGAATTGGCCGATTTCTACAGATTCAACGTCGGGTTCGCCGAGGAGATCTATACCAGACAGCCTACTCTTCATGCTCAAGGTCAAGCTGGCAAGACTGATTGGCGCCCTCTGGAAGGATTCGTGTATGCTGTTTCGCCATTCAACTTCACTGCCATCGGAGGTAACCTGATCTCCGGGCCTGCTCTAATGGGTAACGTCGTGCTGTGGAAGCCATCACCTGGAAACATCTACTCTAGCTACTTGGTCCACAAGATCCTTCTCGAAGCTGGCCTTCCTCCAGGTGTTATCCAACTCGTCAACGGTGACGCCGAAATGATCACGGATGTCGTGTACGAGCACCGCGAGTTCGCCGCATTGAACTTCACCGGTTCATCAGATGTATTCCGCGAGCTGTACGCTAGAGCAGGCGAAGGCGTACGAACGAAAAAGTACCGCGATTACCCTAGAATGGTAGCCGAGACTTCTGGCAAGAACTTCCACATCGTGCACAACACTGCAGATATCCCGAATGCGGTCAAGCATACTATCAGAGCTTCATTCGAGTATGCCGGTCAAAAGTGCTCGGCTTGCTCGCGTATCTACATCCCTGAGAGCCGTGCCGAGGAATTTTGGAAGGAGATGAAGGATAGCTTGAGTCCTGTCAAGGTCGGAGCTCCCGAGGACTTCAGCAGCTTTACCGGTCCAGTCATCAACGACAAGGCTTTCAAGAAAATCACTACCGCCATTGACTCGGCAAATAAGGACAGCCAACTTGAGAAGATTGTTGGTGGTACCTACGATGGCAGCAAGGGGCTGTTCATTGAACCCACAATCTACTCTGCCAAGACCCTCGACCACCCTCTCTTCGATCAAGAGCTGTTCGGTCCAGTGTTAGTAGCTTACGTCTACCCCGATGCCGAATACGACGCTCTGCTCGAGAAGATCGACACCCAAGGAGGCGGTCTGGCTCTGACCGGCGCAATCTTCGCCAGTGATCAGAAGGTCATCCGCAAGACAGAGGACCGCTTGCGCTATGCTGCAGGAAACTTCTACACCAACTGCAAGACTACAGGAGCGGTGATCGGACAACAATCATTCGGAGGTGCAAGAGGTAGCGGAACAAACGACAAGGCCGGAAGTGCTGGTATGCTCATGAGATTTGTCGCCCCCAGGACGTTGAAGGAAGAGTACCACAAGTTGGAAGATGTCTTGTATCCCCACAACTACTGATATATATAGAGCGAGAGAGGAGTCATAAAATATCAAAGCAAAGTGAGCTGTGTACTCGCTGTAATCAAAGTTATTGGAAACGTCAATAAATCTTTACGGATCGTCTCTGCCGTTAGACTCTTCGGTGGTGTCTAGCCATTGTTGGCAGGATTGACCATGCAATAGTCCGCATTGTGAACCGACAGATCCGGGTTACCAGCCCAAGTTGGGAACGGATGTGCCTTGCCACTACCACCAGCGACTGCAAAAGTCAAAATGAACACCATGACCTGCGTACCTCCATCCATTGCCGCCGAGAGTAGATAGTTGTACTTGACAAAGAACTCCGGGTGGTACCTGCGAATGTAGAACTGACTGACAAAGGCGAGAATGAAAAACATGTTGAGTGCGCTGTTGATGCCAACGAAAAGATTTCCCATATACCAGAGGATAATCGAAGGGTTGAGGTAACCCCATTTCTTGTTGCCGGTAATCTTGTAGGCGATATACGTGGGGATTGGAACCAGGAAGCCGATGAGGTAAGCAAGGGTGACCCATTGGTAACGCGAACCTACACTGAACATCCTCGAGGCAATACTCCAAGCGATGGCAAGTGTGTTGAACTGCTGGATGTTTTGACCTGACCAGATGTTCGTGCCTTGGATGGACTTGAGGATCTCGGCTTGGTTTTGCACTATGCTGTGCATCATGACCCAATCTATAGCCTGTCAGCAAGACGAAACCAGTCACGGATTGATCAACTCACTGAAGATACCACCAACAAGACAACCCGTAACTTGCAAAGCGAAGGTCGTACGAGGTGGAATATGGTTCTGTTGCGCCAACCTGAGATCTTTCGCCAGCAAAGAAGCCTGAGTCGAGGTGTTGTAGGTGAAGCAAGTAAAGTAGAAGTTGGCCAGAGGGCGGCCAGGAAAAAGGTACCCGGCGAGCATCTGACAAATGGGCTGAAGATTAAATCCGAAACCAGTAATACCAGACTGGGCTCCGAAGAAAAGTGCGAAGAGGTATGTGAACATCAGCGCAATGAGATAACCCCACCAAGGTAGAGTAGACTGTGGCTATGTCAGTATTCTGTGCATAGGCAACAATTCTGCGGGGAAGAGTTCCTTACTTTGATGGAATACAGGCAGATGATACCAACTACCCAACTGACAACCATGACTCCCGCCCACCACCACATCGGGACCTCTTTGTACTTGTTGCGAAGCATAACTTTGTAATGAGGGTCAAGAGTGGGATCGTCAACCTTACGTGCTAGGCGTTCTTCTGGAGTCTCAGTGTTACGCCAAAACATGTACGTGTGAGGGTTTGCAAGTTTGGCCAAGTTCCGATGGTGTGCCCAGGTCCATGCCACTTTTAGATCGTCCCAGTTCCACATCAACATATGGACAAATGTCGCTGTCAGGCCGGCATTCGAAGTGATCAGGTAGGCGATATAGGTTCCGGTAAGGTAAGGGATCCCTTGTTCGTCGAGCTTGTCGAAGTCGATGTGGAAATTCGAGTCCAGGATTAGGCTCTGATTGTAGACGGTGTAATTGGTAGCAGTGGAGGTGCTGTTAAAGAGCGACTGCGACAAGAATGGGAAGTCTTGCGAGTTCCAGAGATTCCTGTAGTAGATGCCTTGATCTGTCAGCCTGATGTATGTCATCCTATGAGGCTTCTTGATCAACTTACCCATGAATAAGATGTAGCACCCACAGATTCCGATCAGCATATTGACAGTCGTCTGTAGAGGATACCACAGAGGTGAATTGAACGCCGCGATGTAATTCCAATCAAAGCACAGCGAAAGAAACCCGAGACCCTCGTTGCCCGACGCACCTCCGAACAAATTCGTTATGACAAGGTTATGCTGGTCAGCGAGACAGACAATCGAAACTCCGGTTAGGACTGTGAATATGTACTCGGGAAGGATTTCCCAGAAGAATAGGCAGAAAAAGATAATGTACCAAACCCTCATGCGTTGTTTGGTCTCGGCTTTGTCTTTGTGGATGGTTTGTAGCAAGGTCGTGACTGGAAGCGTCATTGGCCACAACATCTTAGTTGGGTAGACGAGAATGTCGCGCAGCATGCCGGCCACTCCGAAACCGAGTAGTTGAGACGAGAGGACAATGAAGATCCCAGCTCCAACACTGGGATATCCACCATAGAACAGTGCCTGAGCAGCCAATGCCTCGGTGGCCAAAGCACTCACAGCTGCAGCAGAAGCCATAATGGTGATTGCCGCATGTTCTTTCTGGTTGAACTCATGAGGGTTGAGGTAGCGAAACCAGCCTCTGCGTGGGATGGCGAATGCCATTGCATCACCAAGGACGTATGCAATGACCGTCAAGAAGACGAGAGACACAAAAATGGTTTGTGGTTTGAAGTAGAAGATCTCTTGAAGAACAGAAGCAAAAATGGAAAGACCGATGCCTGGGAAACCCAGATTAGCGGAGTCCAGCACCACGAATGAAAGTATTCACCAACCTAGAAACCATGTTCGAAATGTCAAAGATTCCTCGAACGGGTCGTCTTCAGTATCTAGTATTTGCGTAACTAGGTCTTCGGCGGTTTCCAAAACAACGATACTTCCTTCACGGACCCATTCGTCACCATCGTTATCCGAGAGACGAGCCTCAAGATTGTCTGATCGCTTCTCATTGGATTCGTGGTCGTTCTTGGTAGGAAGCGGTCTCATCCCATGGTCAACGGTCGACTCGTCATTGTTTGTGCTCATACGGGCAGTCCTCGGGTCGTCGGTCTGGTCATGGTAGGAGGAAGCTCGCTTTTCCGTCATGATCTATCGTGAACTGAGGGCTGGATTGATGGTATCTTCAGGAAGCGTGTTCTTGGGGCTTATATGTCATCAAGCAGGAAGGTTACCAGCCTCATCAAGTACCTCAAGAGACGATAAGCATTCATTGGATAAAGCTTGTTTGACTGGGCGAATGTTGAGACCACAGCAATGTATCCTTGTCCACGCAAGGGTGACTTCGAAGTGTTGGTTTTGTGTGAAGCAAGCCGACCCTTGAGTTCCTAAAGAGGAAGGCGCCTCAGGCAGCCTGTCATTGCCACTATCGCAAGAAAGGTACTTAGCGACTTCGACAGGTCCTCTATCCAGCACTCCGAACAGTGAGTTATTTTGTGTCTCTCAAGCGGCTAATAGTGTGCCGCGGGCTTCCTAATCGGCCTCCCAATTGAAGACTTTAGACATGTCACCAACCGCTATCACTTTAGCTCGGATGTTTAGATACAAGAATTCAGCCCAAAAAATAGATCTTGCCGTACCTGTCAGTACATGGTCGTCGAAGATTCGTGGTATCATGTTGAGGCGCTGGACAATCGAACAATGATCACTTCCTGATGGCTTTAACGACTTCGTGAAGCTAACAAAAGGCTTTCTAATTGGTGGGGACTTTATCGCATGATTTCAAGGTGGCACCTGGCACCCAGAATTTGCAAGCCGGTCGGCAATATACGTCATAACAGCTTGAAGATATCTTAGTCTGGTTGGCGATGATTGATCAGTGCAGCATAGAACCAAAAAAGCTTCAGACATGACATCCCACATTTTTTGATAAGAGCATGATCCTGACACGGGAGTGCCGAAAAAAGTCGATATGAGACACGATCACAGCACAGTGAATCGTGCAAGTCTTCGATCAACCTTCCACGCGCGACCTCCTGAAATGTCTTGTGGAAATGTGAATATTGTGTGATGTGTTCGTGATCTGGTATAGAGATCCCGCAAAAGTTACACTTTCTGCTTAAGATGGAATCCTACCTTGGCCGTTCGCGCAGCTGTCAGAAGTGACGCGCCCAGGAGGAACGATGTTCCACCCCAGATCTGCGCAGGCAGGTAGTTACCATCGTTGTTCGATATCAAAGCGCCGGCCAAGGGAGGTCCGGTCAAGCAGGCAAAGCTGACGATTGTAAAGCCCATCCCCATTCTAACACCAGTTTTCTTCATGTCTGTGGTAAGACTCGACAGGCCGGCCGGGAACATAGACTGGAGACCAGCTGATCCAGAGCCGTAGATGGCAGCAAAGACGAAGAGAGATGCTTTGGAGTGAACGCCTATCCATGCATACATCATGATCGCGCAGAGCAGTGTGAATGGCAACATAACATTGACAGCACCCATGCGATCAGCGAAATAGTTTGGCAATAAGCGCCAGAGGAAACCGACAGCGACCATAGTCAGTAGAAGATCAACAGAATCATGATAACTCATGCCAATAATGTTGCGACCGTAGCTGCCGACGTAGAAGAAAGCGAAATACAAGCCCCAAAAGTTGAAGAACATGCCCGCGCAGTAAAGCACGTAAGGGAGTTCTCTGAAGGAGCTCCACTCTACGATAGGTCCTGCCTTGCGCGGTGGCAGGCGTGTGCGATAGACGAGGTTGGTAAGAATATTGGTGAATAGCATGAGGAAGCCGCAAACTCTAATGGTCCAAGGGAAGCCAATGCGCGGTAGAAGCTGTTGAACGACGATCGGAAACACGACACCTCCAGTGCAAGATCCTATTGTGACAAAGCCGATGGCGAACGAGCGCTTCTTGACAAAGTAGGTGCTGATCAAAGACATGGCAGGGCAGAACTGCAGTCCACCAGCGATGCCGATACAAAGTCCTTGGGACAAGAATAACTGCCAGTAGTTTGTTGCGGCTGACATTGAAAAGACGCCTAATAATTGGAATACTGTGCCGGCGAAGTAGACGTGACGAAACAGGCCAGCATCCAGAGCGCGACCGCTAAACGTGCCCAAGAAGAAGAGTAGGAAGATCTGGACGCTGCCAATCCAAGAGATGGCCGAGGGATCAAGGCCTAACGAGGTCCTGTAGTACTCCTGGAATACTCCGTAGCTCGTGACCCATCCCCAGGTGCTGAAGATTGTCAAATGCGCCATGGCGACCTGAGTCCACGCTTTGAGTCCGCCATCGGGAGCAGGCTCAAGACTTCGTATTGAAACAGCAGGGTCGCGTGAGAAAGTGCTGGCCAGCGGAGGCTCTCCAGGTACGGGCTCACTGGTCGCCAGATCTTCCGACTTGTATGACCCTCGCTCTTGCTCTTTCTCGACGTCCCGATCTGCTGTGAAGCTCGAGATGCTTTCGCGCGTGCGGTTGTGCTTGGGCTCGTAAGACGTCATGGTCAGCTAAGGACTTTCAATCGTGCGTTGATGATAGCGACGCGACTGCAACTGCGACGATGCATTCAGTCCCAAGATGTGAGGACGACGGAGGCTGCATTACGAATGAGTCAATGATTTTTTCTTTCCCTACCCTCGGTACTCCTCCTATGTGGATGAATCATTGTACATCTCCGCCTTTCGGGCAAGGAATCCAATCGCGGCGGAGAAACTCTCTCCAATCTGATCACCGCTCATGGCGTGCGCGAAACGACGTGCCCGCTGTCGGCCAAAAGTCGTGGTGCCGAGCCGCTTTATCCGTCCCTACCGCTGGCCATTCTTGCAAGTTTCCATCAACAACCTGATGATGGTCGGATAATAGTAACTCAGGCGATAAACACATAGTATACATGGGATAAGTGCAGCTTTCAGAAGTCGTGCCGAGTACGATGCCGGTACAAGTGACAGATGCGAAAGGTCTGCTTAGAATATTAGAAGCAGGCGTTGTTGTTAGGTGCACGATGTCAACCGATGTCAACTTGTGCATGTGCGGGACCCTCGCTCCTTCCTTCGGAAAGCCTGCCAAGGCGCCCGCCAGATATCATTTTCCAAGGCTCTCAACATCAATACGGTCATACTGTTAATATAATGACTGTAAAGCATCTGTGATTTACGAAACTTGAGAGCATGGTAGACCTGAACTGATTGTGATGCGATTTGTTCCATTCTCGCACATAATGTGATTCAATCAGCCATCCAGCATTCTCTCACACGGTTCAGGGAGTGTTCTCCACATCAATATGTATCAATTCGATAAAATCGAGACTACACTGCGCAAATGCTAAGGGTTTCGCGGTTTGTGAAGGTCATATTAATTAGAGTGTCTACTCGCTCTATGGTGTTTATATGAAGCCCGATAGTCCATCATTATAGTCGTCTCTTCGAGGTTCATAGATTGTTGACAGGGTGTTCTGCACAGCAATAGATAAGATCTTTGCTGCTGACTGGCTAGTCACGCGTCGCGTTTGTGTTTTGTCACTGACGTATGCACATCTGAAATAATCTTAGCGGACAAAAAGACAGTGATCTTCGCTTGTCAGTTGGTAATCTGGCTCGCAGCCACACCAGTTTATAAGGGGCCTGTACGCCGCGCGCGCGATCAAGTCGACTTTGGAGAATGGCCTCACAGAAATCTAAGCCTTTTGTATGGACTTGAACTCGCCCTGAATGAAAGTGATTGCATTTGAAGACCATGAACACGAGCTTTACAAGATCTACCAGGGCCTATATGAGTAACCGTTATTTTTCCACTTGCTGTTCTGTTGGCTTCTGCCCTTCTTCTGCTGGAGCCTTGACCGCAGGTTGAAAAGGCGCCGCATCTCCGAACCTTTCGGGGACCAAACCAGCATATCCGGGTCTGGAAAACCCCCTCTCGAGCTGACGTTCATACGAGACCTGACGGAGTCTATTCGATTCTTTCGGCGTGAGTCGAAGCTGCAAACATGACGATGTCAACATTTTATTCATCTCGGCTCAGCATCATGGCAGTACTCACATAAACCTCAATGGCAATTGTGTGCAACGATAAAGCCAACCAACCAGCTGTACCGAATGGAACCGCAAGCGCGGCCGACAATTCCATTGCGTTGTCACTGCTGAAATCCACGGTGACGACAACAGGCAGATCTGGCGACTTGCCGTTGAAGTAATTTGCGCAACCAGGATACGCCGCAAGCGTGTCATTTCGTCCAAGTGCGAATTCGATCTGAGCACATGGCCGAGTGGTGTACCTGCACAATGGTCAGTCCTGTTATTCAGAATGGCCATGAGTTCAAGCTTACCAGTTCCTGTTCATGCTGATTATTTGAGCCGAGATGATCATGATGATCCGGATAGTAATGATTGTCGCAAACTATCAACAAGTCAGTATATGCAACAATCTAGCGTTGAGATCAACAACACACCCAAGCCCATGTCCTCATCATCCAAGCACGGTGCTGGTCGATCTGCAACAACTTGATGTTGACCCAAGCCATGATGTATCCAATCGTGGTCAAGATGACCATAGCCCCTGTCCAGGTCTGTGTGGAGAAGTCTCCTCCAAAAGCATGTCGGGTAATGATGATCGTGCCGGCGTTGCTGATAAGAGATAGGACAACGACAGCATAGCCGTTCATTCGGTGGAACAAGATGATCTTGTGTCGGATGACTGGTACGAATTGGAAGCAGACAAGCAACGCGGCTGGTATGATGGTGTACAAATGTAGCTTCATGCCTACCATCTTGTCAGTATCGACTCCTCGGTCCACACGATTAGGAGAGATAGGCTTACCAATTTTGAACGGCACTTGCAGCCAATAATAGCATTCACCAGGAGCTGCTCCGATTCCTCCGGCGGCATTGGGGTTGCAGAACACACCGTTGTAAGACAAGTATTGAAGCCGGGCAAGGGTAAATCCAAGAAGATATCCAATCGTAATGAACCCTGGGTTTTACAATGAGGATCGTGGCCCGTAGAGCAGCAGACATGAAGACTTACAAAGGATGAAGTTGTAGCCTTTAGAAAAGCCGAGCGGATTGTATACTCGGCGCATGAAACGTACGAAAGCATTGGCAGGTGCCATATTGAAGTTCGCGCGTGTGGTTGCCGCTTGCTGATGGGCTACAAAAAGATATCAATGGGGTATTGGTGACTTGGTATAGATAGTGTTTGCGAAAATGTGCGAGTTGAGAGTTTGAAAGCGAGACGGCAAGATGGCATGGAGAGTTGCGCGCCCTTATAAGCAAAAGCCATCTTCAACAGCATATCAGTTCTCTGATACTAACACCTACTGTGCAACCGAGCATCAAAAATTGCTTGATCATCCCAGCTTGGCCGTCGCAATCACTGATGCAACATAGCAGCTCATACCAAAAAGGGTACAAGTCTGCGACTCTGACGCCTTGATATCAAAGCAGAAGGAATGTATGTTTGGGTCCCGTCTCTGATTATAGAGCAGAAGGTAATCGTTGCATGTCGAAATCGCGACAGTGATGTCGTTGGAGCGCAGAGTCTCTCCCAATGCGGTTAGACGCTGTACACACCGAACCCCGCAGCCGTCACCCCTCTCTTCCTTCCATCTTCCAAGACTTTTTGTAGGTTGGCAAAGGATTCCGGAGATCGATCCCATGCAGAAATTGTAGAAACATTGCGATGACAACCATTCTGCACTGCCCCTTCATGTGCAACCGACAGCCTAACGGAATATGCTGTACTCAATCTTATGGAGGGCCGGCACATGTTTGGTCCTGTAGAGCCCAAAGATAACTCTGCTCGTTGCCTCGCGGTTGCAACATTGTCGCGCCGTTTTTATTCCTTTTTGAGCTCACCTATCTGGACGAACGATATACAATATGCAGGGTGCTCGAACCACGAGAGGCTGTGTGAATTGCAGACAAAAGAAGAAAGGCTGCGACATGAAGAAACCGACATGTGGTCGATGTCTGCGTCTCAAGATGCCTTGTGCGTTTGAAGAGCGCAGATATGTCTTCATCAGCCACGGCGGAAATTTAAGCACGACGAGTTCTCTCACATCATCTTCAGAGGCTTCATTGTCCAGAACAAGCTCATCAATCATCCTTGACGAATACTTCTGGACCAATTACCTACCTCAAGAAGATCCGACTTTGGACGGCAGCATTGGTGGAATATTATCGGCGCCTTGGATTCCGACTATCCGTCAGTTGGCGAATCAGAATTCAGATGTGCGATATGCCATACAGGCTTGCGCTTTGGCTGGTCTTGGGTGGATGTCAGAAGATCAAACGCTCATTATCCGCTCAGGGGCATACTACGCACAAGCGCTCAAGCAAACGAATGTCGCTCTGCAAGATTCAGCATCGGCATGTGATGACAGCGTGCTTGCTTGTTGTCGGCTTCTTTCACTGTTCGAAATGCTCAGACGAATAGCCTCTCCCGGTAACTCAAATCGAGATCAAGTCTTAGACTGGCGGACTCATGTAAACGGCACCTGTCGTCTTGTTCAACTTCGCGGACGTCAAAAACATGTGTCAGGTCACGGCGTTGAATTGTATGACGGGGTTCGGTTGACGGCTATCATCCAAGGGCTTGTGAGACGACAGCCGAACGCCTTCACGAAGCTCGCGTGGAAGCTGCCTCAAAGAAATATGAGGGATGAGTTGTTCGAGCTGATCAATCCAGTGCCGCAGCTCCTCCATGATTTTGATGTACTTCATAAGTTTGAAATTGGCATAGAGACCGTGTCAGCAAGTCGTCAGCACATTGTGCTGGGACTCGCCCTGTTGCGGCAATCTGTCGAAATCTGCTATGCGATGAGAGAGTGGGAGGTCAAGGTCCTGTCGCTGTGTGAAAAGAAGAAATTTTCGGATGTTCGCGCGTACGCAATGCCCACATCGCAAGCGTCCCAGGAAGAAGCTTCGCTCTTCGATTCTTGTAGATCGTATGGCCATGGGTTCTTCGCTATATGCACACAGTACTGGACGATGTGCAACATCCTGTATGGCTCACTAAGAACATTTCATCTACAACTCCAGGCATTCATGGACATCTGGACGCCGGGAGACAAGATGCCGGTCTTGCCTGAATGGATCGGTCCTGAGATGCCGGCTGTGTATATTGCTCAAGTCGCATCGCACTTCTTCAAACCAGGGATGGGTCTCTGGGCTGCCCATGCCGCCGTCTTTCCCGTGAGTACTGCATTGTGTCACTTTGCAAGGACTGGCAGACGGGATTCACCAGCGGTTAGTACAATGGTGGATGCGTTCGCGACAAGCAAGACTGGCATTATCATGCGCGATTTCCTTGAGGCGATAGGTCTGAGTTGAGAAGAATTCCGCATGTCGGCATCTCCAGGAGGTTGTTAGAGGCGGGTAGACCTGCCATTCATATGACCCTAGGCATAGCGAGCTACGATATCGAAGATAGAGTTGAGCGTAGCAGATGACATTTTTTACGTTTGCTGTACCGTCTGCTCTCGTCGTATCGGGGATGGTATGTTGTTGGGATGCAACATCGTTTGTTGGGCAGATAACAATCCTCAGAGTCTTCTACTTGCAAGGACTACTTCAGTCGATATTGTCTGAGTTTGCGGGTTTGGCTTTCCGCCATGAACTCTCCCTACCGATACCCTAAAGACCAGGAGTCTAGGGAGACGCGTTAGGCGGAGAGTTCTCCAGCGAATGCGTCTCGGTCGAGGCTCCGCTGTGCCGTAACCTTATTCAAGAGGTGGTACGGAGTACGGAAAGGCTTGCACGTGTCAATGGATGGCTTGCAAGATATTTTAGCCGCCATCCCATTACAACGATACTTCAAGCAAAGTCCCGGCATCAATCTCCATCTTCGAACGGTCTCATCTTCTGACCATCGAGATGTGGTATGTTTAGTGAAGCGTACCAAGTTTGGTAGAAGTTGACTCATCAAATCTTCGAAAGAAAATTTGTAAGAGCGGCCTAGATTTGTCGATGGTATTGCACAAAATGCAGCACGCAAGCCTTGACGACTTGAGACTTGCATGCATGCCGGGTAAATCCTCAAGTGTCGGGTTTTGTTTTGACTCCCTTCAGTTGCATGCATGAACGGCATACCCGATGACATAGAGAAAGTTCGACGCTCAGCTCGTGTATATGGAGCTTATACGTGATGGACCCCTGTCTTGTTGAGCAACCTAGAAGGTCGATGGCCTGGAAGTGCTTGGATGATACGATGCTTCTAGCAATGGAACACTAGAGAGAACAACATCCGTTCGAGCGTGTCGCTTGCTCACTTCTAGTGGGCAAAAGATCAGCATCAGTCATTGATGGGTGCGTATAAAGTTGCGACGTTTTATGTGGCGCTTAGCCAGAGATGAAACACGATGTCAACCCGTGGACGCCGTAAGACAGGTTTGCATGCGTCGAAATGGCAATTGAAGCTTTTATCAACAACACGTCAGCAGGAGAGCATGAGGAGGTCAACGGCAGTCGCATCAACGCGCATGCATCGCTTTGCATGATCGGACGGGTCGTTCATAATATGCAAGAGGTTCTTCGAGTGTGCAAAGTCTTCCGTTGCGGCTCTGCCGAAAGAAGCGGGCTAGGCGAACGTTCAGACCCTGCAGCGCCGACCCCGCCCGCGCTTGTCGTAGCCACGTGTCGGCGTGTCGGCCATCCTCGGGCCTTCGCGTTGGGTGCGACGATTTGACTTTCTCAAATTCCAGTCGTCCTGATGACTTTCCCTTGATCAGCACCATGCAGCTGCTTCTTCTTTCTTGTTCTGACAAGACTCAGCTTTTGAAACTTCCAGAATCATGACAGCATGGAAACTTCGCAAGCGACGATTGCCCAAAGATCGTACAGCGGATGCCGCACCTGTCGACAGAGAAAGGTCAAATGCGATGAAAGTCGTGACGATATTGGCCGATGCGGGTCTTGTTCCCGTTTGAACCGACCATGCGACTGGACTCGGGAATGGAAATTCATTGACACCAGTCGTTCTGTTGAAAAGCAGTATGTCGTGCTGGGAAAAAGACCAGACCGGAAACCAAAAGGATCAAAGACTGGTATCAATTCTGGACCCAAGAACACCGCCTTGATATCTGCTCACGCGACAAGTCGCAATGGATCATGTCCGCCTTGCGAAGCTGTTGGGGACCCAAACGAATCTCGACCTCTGATGTTTGTCAATTCCTTCTCGAACGACTTGGCTGCAACGGAGAGACCTGAAGAGCGACCGCCAACCAAACAAGGACTTGTCAAAAGCTCGAATCGCACTTCTGATTCTTCGTCCGAAGATTCCGATACACAGTCGGTCGACTTGGTCCAGTTGAACCGGATACCATCAGACCTGATGAATTATGGTACACGTGCACGCGACAATGCAATACATCCACTGCTTTTCGACACGGTTGTTTGCCGAAAAATCATGCCTATGGCTGTGCGCTTCAAACTCAACATCGAAGACAATGAGAATGTCTTACTCTCTACTTCGAGGAATTTTCTCCCACTTCGCCATGCCATTTGTGCGATAACGCTGCTCAACAGTGGGATGAAAAGCCGTCCAGAGCTTATCGCTGGGTCCTTCCAGCACTACGATCAAGCTATCACCGCCTGTCGGTCATTGTCACCTTCCGCCAGTCCTGAGGCTGTGTTCTTTTTGCACTTTATCCTTCTCATGTACGATATCGCGTGTGCATCTCAACGATGGCCAGAGGATCGCAGTTCCTGGTCCCTGCATCTGCGAAAACTTGCCAGCTTGGCGCATGAACCCGCTGGGCCGTCCGTCAGTCGACTGAAAGCTTATCTATCTTGGTACGTCCTTCTACTGGATGCACAAGCAGGCCTTGCCGGCAACTCAGAAGCCGGTCATTATACACGTGCGTTCCTCGAGAATGGCCGCTCGTTACCTGTCTGGCCCATTTCGCCGAGTCAGCAAAAAGTGCTGTCGACTCCGGAGTCCATGGACGAGTTCCTCAAAGTACACAAACTATCCCTGATCACCTTCGAGATGTTTGCAGAGCAGAGCCAAGCATCACTGAATCTCCGACGTGCTTTCAGAGAGCGACACATTGGCTTGAAAGAGAGACAACAACACATACAAGATTTGTCAATTCGACACGCGACTGTCTGGCAAGAGAATTGTCCACCCCATATGGAGTCACAAGAAGATGAGGCTGCGCCATCACCAGACAGAAGGATTATAGCCGGAACATACAATTTTGCGCGGCTACAGTATTCGGTGCTGCAACTCCATCTACATACAAGCATGTATCCCTACCAGCGACTCGACGGCGACCTATTCGCAGTGGAAGACACGGAACACTGCACCTATATCATCAACACAGTACGCCAAAGTTTTGTCTACAACGACAGAGAGAATCACCACCTTGCTCATGCACTATTCTTAGCCGGAGCAGCGACCAAGCTTCCTGTTGAAAAGTCAGCGGCATTGATGATGTTACAAGAGATGGAACATGCTGGTCTCTCTGGTGCCGTGGCACGAGTAAGACATGTTCTCGAACTCGTCGTCAGGGAGCAAGCGAAAAGGGAGATCGCTGGTGGCAGCGCGGACGAAGTCGATTGGATCGAGCTGTCACAGGAACATGGACTCAAAAACGTCGTGTTCGGCATGTGATGTTCCTAACACAACTACTCTTGTCGTTCCAAGCGACACTGGCCCAGTTACCAAGGGATTAGCAGCACCTTGACCTCGGCATTGCATATGTACCAGATGACCCGAAGTAATCATAATTTTCTACACTTCAGATTTGCCTCTTGCCCGCGGTGAGCTCAGAACTATACGAACTTGTCATTTGCTCACAGAGATAACTCGTGTTACCGGAAGTCTAGACGCTACTTCTACAATATAGAATTGGACCTGTTCGATGGAAACAAGTCTTGTTGCGAGTACCAAACACAAAAATACCCAATGACTCACATGTAAAATATTGTGGAAACATGGGTTACAGACATACTTGTCACTTCTGCTGCACACATATAGCTGTCAACATCCACTTCAAGGCAATAGAATTTCGACGCCAAGGCAGAAACCTGGCTTCAACAAATTGACGTCCATATATCCTCACTCTTGTCTCTCTATCTTGGATGATCACTCTTTTCTAAACAACCGGGCGGCCCTCTCTTCTCGATTCCTTTCAAAGCCTGCAAAGAATCCCAGCACTCACTATGATGCTTACCAATCTTTTATCTTTTGTTGTATTTCTTCTTTCCTTTACTCTGTTGAGTAGAGGAGCAGAGTATACCACTATGGATGATCTTAGTCTTGAATATCTTGCAGCGAGGTAATATGCTACCCCATTTATACAACATTGGATTCACGATACTGATTTCTGGTATTGCTGCAGTGGTGGAAGACAAGGGGTCCATGCCATCGACAACAACAAGCTTATTCCTGGGAAACAACATGATTTCCAACCGGAGGCGTGGGATACGCAATGGCTCGAAACCCGGATTCCGACGCGAGGATTTGAAGATATCATTGTTACTCCGACGCCAATGCCGACAGTGACAAGGATGATAGCGAACCCTGAAGACCCTGAAGACGATGACTCCTCTTTACCCAGCTCCGACATCGACTCTGCCGTCAAGCATATTTACGACTCCTTCTCGTCGCCAGAAGAATCTGCATTCCCCTCCACATCAATTTCATCGCTCGCCGATAGTAAGAACTACGTCGCTAGTCTAAGAGCAGACGACAAAATCTTGCCAGTGATGATAAAGAAGGAGGGAATGGGGGCCATGAATCATGAAACGTGGGATGATGATACAGGGGCATGGGTCTTGATATAACATCTAACACATCGAATACATTCGTCATATACCTATCATATCTCTTGATGCTAGACCTTTCTGTTGTTCAGATCATCATGTTTTTCTTGGGAAAATCACTGTTTTTTTCCGAAGAAATGGTCTAATTTGATTACCATGACATCACTTGCACATAAAAAAACAATGAAAACGACACATCTTGATATCTTGATGGTTCAAAGAAGACGAAAGAACCAGAAAGTTTTTGTGGAAGAAAGAGGGAGAAACCCAATGATGTTTTTCAATAGAGATAAAACCATAAGAAAAACCAAGCATACATATATCATAAAAATACGCAAAATTCTTACAAAACACTCTCTCTAAATGATCAACCACACCATCCCCCCAATCCAACCTCCAAGTACAATCAAAGTAATAATCACCGCCCCCGCCCTATCCGCCGCCGTAATCTTACTCAACCGATTCGGATCACTACTCCCACTACCCCCCGCAGCATCATCTCCAGTACTGGTTCCTCCCGTACTGTTCGTCACAGGCCCCTTAACATTCTCGATCAAGTTACTCTGGATGACTTCGAGTGCGCATAATTGTTGTCCTACACCGTAGGTTTGATCCCAGCCTACGGGGGAAGTGGCGGTGACGTTGTTGAACCATTTCGTGCCGCAGGTTACGCCGTCCGTGCCGCCGGAGCAGGAGGATGCGGCGCCCAGGGCGGAGGCTTGGAGGTAGGGTTTTATAAGTGGAGCCAAGAAGGGTGCGACTTTTGAGGATGCGGCGATCCAGCGGGCTAGGTAGGCTTTGAAGCTGTTTTTCATCGTATATGTTAGCAATTGTGAGGAGGAGAGGAGAAGGGGTTTGAAGAAGGTGTGTGGAGAGGAAGGAAGGGGTCAAAAATGAACTTACAAATGTTGATCCACGTTGCAGTTGCCAGAGGGTTCGCAAGCGACTTCGTACATGATTTTTTCGTCGGTGAAGAAGACGTGGGTGGCGTTCCATAGACCCCTGGTGCGGTCTTCCCAAACCTGTTCGCCGGTGATGTTCCACATGGTAGCCGCTCCGAGTAAAAAGATACCGGCGTTGTATGTCCATTGGATTTTATCAACAGATGAACAATTCTTTGTCGTGTCGGAACCATCGTAGACGTAATAATCCTCCGTCATCAAGCCCGACTCTTCCATCCAATCCCATGTCTTGGAAGCCCAATCCGAATAAGTGGTGTTGCCGGTGTACTTTGCCAGTCTGGCGCCCAAGTTGAAGAATCCACCGTTGGACACCGAGTTTTTGTAATTATATCCATTGTTGAAGGTGAAAATCTGCCATCTCAACCCACCACCGCAAGATTTGGTATCCCAGCGAAGAGCTTGCGTGTTAAACACCGCTTGGGCCAAAGCCAACCATTGCGGTTTCTTCGCGGGCGGGTTTGGGAAATTGACCTCGGCGGCGGACATGGCGGCCATGCCCCAAAAAGCCTGATCGTCGTTTCCTTCCGATTTTGTTTGATTCAAGGGCATGTAGTCGTCGTCGTCGCCGGCTTGGAAGAGCATGGCTTCGGTGGTTACGTTGTTGTAGGTCGTGTCGCCTGTGTAGTACCAGTAGTCCATCATGGATCCCCACATTGCTCCTGCATGCCACCAGTAGTATGGCCAGGGCAGTTCTCCTATCGTTTGTGCGGTTTCGTTGCCGTGGTAGTATTTCATCATGCCGTATGCGACCGTCGAGGCGGCGGATTTGATGGATGCTTTTGAGAAAAAGAAAGTCAGTATGCAACCGTGAGTGTGCAAAGATTCAGCCCGGTCACTCACCATCATCGTTGATGTCGAGGTCGATAGCTTGACTTGGAAGTGCAAGAGCTGCTAAGCCCAAGGATATGAGATTTGTCGTACGCATTTTGGCGTTTGATGTGATTGTTGCAATAAATCGTGAAATCCGAGAAGTTCAGAAATTCAGAAATTCTTTTGGTCTACGTTGTTGATTGTTGAGTATTGTATGTTGTTGATTGTGGGTGATCGACAGGAATAGAACAGCTTCAACGTTGTCTCAGAGGGTTCATTGATATTCGTGTACGAGGGTTCAAATAAAGAGCGTAAGGTTTTTGCGAATTGGATGGCGTGAGAGAAAATCAACAAATGAATGGACGCTACAGAAGTAGCAAGATGGTGGTTAAAGGAACGTGAGTATGCGAAGAGAGAGCAGGAAAACAGACCAAAAGAACAAGACTTAACTCAAGGCGCCAGGGCACCGACCTCATTATCTACCATGATCTTATTTTGGTGCTTATGCGACCGTTGACAAGGGGAGGGAGGCTTGACGGAGCGTTCGAAGGACTCTTATACGAAGGCGCACGGACGTTGCCCCACACGTTCTTCTCCATTTGGATATCCAGCCGTGTGAGTGGATGCCTTTATTGAATCCATCTCGTGTCATGGGTGTTGGCTTCCTCGGAGGGCACGATTTGATTGCCACCGACCTTGAGACCTTGAATTCATGACTGCTGCACTTTGTTGATAGTTACGAACAGCTGAGAGATGGATGGAAAAGAGATAATGACGACGGATTGTAAACAACGGCCGAACCGCATACTAAGATTGCAAAGATTCGATGTCAACAGGAACGGATAGGCTTGGAACCCCTTGGGTAAGATGAACTCGGATTCGGATCAGAAGTCATACGCGTCGCAGTACGAGAGGCGGATGATCGTCATGTCCTGAAGGTCAACAAAGAGTTTGAGAATGAAGAGGAGAATGGAGAAAGAGAAGGATAACGAATAAAGCTGGCATGGTGAGATATGAAGCTGCTTAATGCAGAAGGGGTATCATGGAAGAGAAAAAGCATGACGCAGATGAAACAAAAGAGCCAGGTGTCTACGGGTCAAGAACGATAAGATCCGGAACGGGTGGACCGACGCCTCTCAGCAAGACGATGGTATTTCCAGTCTTGACAGCAGCACCGAGCTTCTCACCAAAGTCGAGGAGTCGTCCACCTTCAACGTGGAAGACACGTAACTTGTCTTCCTCACCCTCGACACGATTGTTGAGGTTCTCGACTTGGAGCGACTTGGCAGCCAGGTCGAGGATTCTACCGATACTCCACTCAGATGAGTAGAAGAACTGACCGGTGGGATGCTTCGCCTTTGTTGTATCGGCAGAAGCCTCGACGTTGATATATATGCGCTTCTCCATTGCTACCTTGGCATCACCCTTGGCATTCTTCTTCAGTTCAGCCGTGGCACGAAGACGCTGGGCAGGCGTCTGTGGTTTTGCGGATGAGGTAGATGGTTTGGCAGAGGTTGTTGTCGTCGTTGGAGCGGCCATGCTCTTCTGTTTGGCCTGGCCCCAGGCGCGTAGTTTAGCAAGGGCATTCAGGCCTTTCTCTTTATTCGCGCGAGCTCCTATAGGGGTGAGCTTTGCGCAGTCGTGAGTTTCTCGTAGACGATGCTTCAGGCAGTAGCTGCGGTTGCAGGCATTACATTCGACACCTGGGACTAGGGCGGTATTGATGAGCGTCTTACACGACGGCTCGGAACATTGCGATTCGTGAGTGAGGACGGACGGCTTGGGCGAAGGCGTGTAGTTGGCTCGTTCCTGGGCGGCGCGTGCTCTTGCCCAAGCGCCTGCATTAGGACATGAATGCGCTGTTTCCGAACGGTGGTCAAGGCAGTATTTGCTGGGACATGTCAGTATCCTCTATGACCATGTCGCAAGGAGGGATATCAACTCACCCTTTGCAACTCTCACATCTAAAAGGAAGAAAGTCGAGTTGATGGCAGAAGGACATTTGGCAGTGCGCGCCAATCGCTTCGACGTCGGCCGTGGCCATTGTGCTGTAGCTTTGTTCCGTGGATGGATCCGGAGTAGATGAGGACGACATGATTGCGACGGCGACGGCGACGGCTGCTTTTATCCGTCGCCTCTGTCAAGTCTTGGTCAAGGCAAGCAACTGCTTACGACAGCGACTTGGATGGCGGCGAAGGACCCTGGAAGCTTCGGGAATGCATGTGAAAGCGGCGGCGGCCAAGTCGCTCGGCCCGTCCATTAATCGACATCCGATCAGGGACTTTCTTTCCGCAAAACACAACAGGTCTCAAGCCTGTTCAGGAACAACATCGCTTCACTCAAGACAGTCAAAGCCGTAGCTGGCAACATGCACTCGGCTTTGACCTATGAGTCTGTAGCAAGGTGCTCGGTATGTCGCGCCACGTAGGATAATTATACCAAGGTAATTACTGAACAACCATCAAGGTCACCAAGGCTCGTGCTGCTACTCTGCAATTACCTCATGGCTCTGTTCCTTTGCCCATCTTCATGCCTGTCGCGACACAAGCTTCTCTCAAGGGTCTGACTCCTCATCAACTCGACGAGACTAGCTGTCGCTTGTGCCTGAACAACACCTATCATCTGTGATTGTACCTTAACCTCACCACCGCTACCTTTCTGATCTTGGTAACAGTGGTCTGAAGCCTGGTCAAGCTACTCTCGACGCCATTGGTGGTGCTCACAAGCTACAATCATGGCCACACAACATTCTGACAGGTACAAAAATCATCAACTTCCACCAAGTACCTGCATTGACACTATGCAGATAGTGGAGGGTACGCCCGTCTTGTCTCTTGACTCACGAGTCCACCACTCACATCTCTAGCTTCCAAATGGTCTCCCTCCTCGAACTAGCGACCGTCACCGAAGAAGGCGTCCGCTTCCTCAGCCCCCATGATCGCACACCCATGCTCTTGACCCCCGAACACTCAATCTCCCTTCAAACCAGCATAGGCTCAGATATCATGATGCAACTCGACGATGTAATAGCCACCACATCGCCTGACCACGCCCGCATAAAAGAAGCCATGTACCGTAGTATCCGCTGGCTAGACCGCTGCATCGCCGCCCACAAGAAACCCGAGTCGCAAAACCTCTTCTGCATTATCCAAGGCGGTCTAGATTTGGATTTGAGAAAGGAATGCTGTAAAGAGATGGTCGCTAGAGATACACCTGGTATTGCTATTGGAGGCTTGTCTGGTGGTGAGGCGAAGGAAGAATATTGTAAGGTTGTCAGTACGTGTACGGATATGCTGCCTGATGATAAGCCGAGATATGTCATGGGTGTTGGATATCCTGAAGACTTGGTCGTCTCTGTGGCTCTGGGCGCAGACATGTTTGATTGTGTATGGCCTACAAGAACAGCAGTAAGTCTTGATCTTGCATCATTCTAGGGCTCTACTAAATTCGTTCCAGCGCTTCGGTAACGCCATAACCTCTTCAGGCGTGTTGAATCTCCGCCACGCCTCCTACGCAGATGACTTCAGCGCTGTGGGTCCCGGTTGCAAGTGCACTATCTGTCGACCTTCTTCAGACGGCGGTCTGGGACTCACACGCGCCTACATTCACCATGTCGCAGCAAAAGAAACTGCAGGTGCACATCTGCTGAGTATACACAACGTACACTATCTCCTCGATTTGATGAGAAGGGTCCGCGAAGCCATCATTGCAGATCAGTATCCTGCGTTCCTGCGCGGGTACTTTGCAAGATTGTATGCAGGAGATAAGAAGAAATACCCTGGCTGGGTGGTGGAAGCATTGCAAAGTGTAGGAGTGGACTTGATGAAAGATTGAGAGATTTGAAGGAGAAGCAAAAGAAACAGACTCGATACCTATTCCTCATTGATGTGACCACTCTCCCGATTCATGGTTTTGAATTTGTCATGAGCTCCCTGTGATCTCGGTCTCGAGTCGAGTTTGACTCAAGCATCTTCTTCATCGCTATCTGAATCCTCAGGCTTTACGGTGATACGACTGCCTTTTTGGACGCCTCGCGGTTGATATCCTTCGATGAGGTCGTGTACTGAGCTGTCGGCGAATCTGGTCTGTGTTGGCGGCATGACGGAAGATATGGTTTTGTTCTCGAGGACCTCCGTCTTCAACACTCTGTCCATCTTGGTTTCCGACACTTTGGTGACTTCGCCTCTCTCGTAGGCAAGATCGCGATCGTCAGTATCCTTCTGAGGTGCCTTCTCCCGCACGGGTAGTTGCATCTGAGTTCCTTGTGCTGGTTGCTTGTTCGCGCCATACAACACCAAAGGATTCTTCTCGCCTGCTCTACGCTCCCACGCTGGGGTTTCGTCAAGCTGCGCCTTGATGTACAAGGCACGTTTTGCACAGTCATCGGAACACCAGTTTTCCACACCCCTATTCTTCAACCATGGCGCTCTCACTGGCTTCCTCGGCGGATTAGGACACAAGGTATATCCACACCTGTCGTTAACATGGCGTTCCTCGATCAGTGCATCGTAATCTCCAGGTTGGAATGAAATCATGTATCCCAGGAAGGCGTTGATTTCTGCCTCGGTCGGTGTCTCGGAAGCGGGATATTCGGATAGTTCCTCGATGGCGTCCAGATTTGCTATCATGATGGCTTTTTGTTCTTGAATCAGGCGGGCATGTTGGACAGCGACTTCGAGACGTTTGCGCTCGGCATCTGATTTTGGTTGGATCTTGAGGTTGGTTGGTAGGTCGTCTGATGGTGATGTGAGAGAATCGTGCGTCTTTTTGAGGATTGATTTTGGTTGTTCCGGTGGAGTTGACATTTTGGCGATGTCCAGTGGTGAGAGATTCAAGTTCTGATGTTTTGTGGTGTGTTGGTCTGGAAGTTGAGGTGAAGAAGTGTCGCGGCGAGTGACACAAAAATGTAGCTCACCTGTGGCTGACTGTGGCTGACGTGTGGCTCTCGACGTCGGACGTTGGAGGCCCGGGCGGGAGTCTCGTTCACGCCAAGAACATGACGAAGCGTCCAACGTGGAAACAAGAGCCCCGGCAGTCCGACCTTCCCCCCATTACACCCTTGAACTGCCGACACAGAGCTATACACCCTGAAGAAGACATATACGCCAATTCCCTCACTCCACTCTCCCGCCATCAGATTGTCGACACAGGCTCCAGGCAGGCAATCGACATGTCAGGACCGCCGTTCAAGGTCAAGGCAGTCTACGAGTACTCAAGCCCACACGAAGATGACCTTCCGTTTCCCGAAGGCCAGATCATCACCGTCGTAGCTCTGGAAGACGCCGACTGGTATGAAGGCGAATACACGGACGCCTCAGGTGGCAAGCACCGTGGTCTGTTTCCCAAGAACTTTGTCGAGCGCTACGAGCCCGAGGTTCCCTCAAGACCCGCCAGACGCCCCGTCTCAGAGATGCGCTCTCCTCCACCGCAGGCTCCTGTCCCCGAACCTGCAGTAGGCGCCTTCCCCGAGGAAGCCGATGAGGAGGACGACGACGACAGCTTCGCCGAGCCTCCACCCGTTCCCGCCCAATCCAAGTCCGTCATTGAGCCCGAGGCTGCTCCAGTACCGCTGCCTCCTCGCAACCTCTCACCTCCTCCGCCAGCCAGACAAACTGCTCCCCCTCCGCCAGCTCAAGAGACGGTCAGATCTCCTCAAGCAGAAGCACCAGCCATCCGCGAGACAATCAAGTCTCCTCCGCCCGCGCCCAAGCCAGCTCCCTCTGAGCCCGCCAAGTCGGAACCTGTCAAGGCAGAGCCCTTTAAGAAAGAGCCTCCGCCTGTGAGCAGCAAGCCTAGTTCATTCAGAGATCGCATTGCCGCATTCAACAATGCCGGAGCCGCTCCCGTTGCTCCCTTCAAGCCCGCTGCTCCCACATTTGTCAAGAAACCATTCGTCGCACCTCCCCCGAGCAAGAATGCATACATCCCTCCACCCAAGGTCGAGCCTGTACAGAAGGTCTACCGCAGGGAAGAAGACCCTGACATTCAGAAAGACCAAGCTCAGGCAGATGAGAATGCAGCAAAGGCTGGTCTCTTGCCTTCGGAACACCCACAATCGCCTACTGGTGAAGAGGAAGAGGACCAACCCAAACCGCAGAGTCTGAAGGAGAGAATCGCCATGCTACAGAAGCAGCAGATGGAGCAAGCTGCACGCAGAGCCGACGTGAGCGAGAAGCCCAAGCCCAAGAAGCCCGTCAAGAAGAACACGGATGAGTCGATAGAGGCCGTTGCACCTCCACCAGTTCCTCAAGCACCTGTCGTGGCCCCAGAAGAAGAGGAAGAAGCTCCCTTGGAAGTCGAACAAGCCGAGCGCCATGTCCGCCAATCGCTCGACCAGCCTCGTGAACGCGAACGTACCCGCGGCGCATCTGCTCGTGGAGTGTCTCGTGAGCCAGCATCACCTGCTGTTGCCAATGAAATGTACAGCGATGCCAACGACGCAGACATGTCCGGAGCTGGAGACATTACCGAGGAGAATGACGTTGACAGCGACTCGACTCAGCCCGCCAGAAGATCCATGCAGGCACCGCGTGCACCCGCAGCTCCTATCAAAGAAGCCGACGTCGGGGAGCAGCAAGATACAACCGAGGACGAGGAGGAAGAAGAGGATGAGATGGATGCCGAAACACGTCGTCGCTTGGAGCTTCGAGAGCGCATGGCCAAGATGAGTGGCGGTATGGGCATGGCGGGCATGTTCGGAGCTCCCGCTGGAATGCCCGGCATGATGGCACCTGCTCCTCCCAAGCCCAAGAAGGCTAGAGAGCCTAAACACGAGACAGACGAGGCTGCTCAGTCGCCCATTGCTCAAGCTCCTCGCATTCCTGTCATGCCCATCCCCGGTATGCAGACAGTACGCAGTCCAGAGGCTGAAGACACTCAGATTGGTGTTGAGAAAGAGGCTGAATACGACACATCGGTCACACATGAAAGAGAGCCTTTGGTTGTGCCGGACGTTGAAGACATCAAGCCTCAGCCGCCACCACACATTGAGCCTGTACATCGCGTACCTCCAATTCCTCTGCCATCTCCCACCAGTGAGCGCGCTCCTCCGGTGCCCACTGGTCGTCCAGTGCCTGCTCCACCAGTCCCCGAGAGTGAGTCGTCGATTGAATCGTCTAAGCGACTCGAATCTAACATTATTCCAGGCCGACCTGTACCTCCTCCACCTCCACCGATCGAGACGCAGGTTGATCCAACCGAGGGCGAGGAGTCGGATGATGAGCGTTCTCTAGCTCCTACGAGGCAGTCAACAGACACTTCAAGAGGCGTCCCTCCACCAATCCCCAGACCAGAGGCAAACCGCTCACCATCTATGGGCTCGACCAAGCGTGCTTCAACCTTTGGCAGCATAGACGCCATGTCGCCCAATTCTCCTGCCACGCCGAGCTCAGAGAGAAGACAGAGTCGCATTCCCCCTATACCTGGCACCATGTCCTCTCCTCCGCAGGCTCGCGCTCCTCCCCCGCCACCGCCTGCTGGTGCTCCTCAGCTGCCTCCCATCATTCCGAGCGCTCCTCTTGGCGAGCCTGACGAGGGCGAGAGTGATTACGAAGGCGACTACGATACTGACATTGCATCTGGCGTCAACCACAAGGATGCTTTGAAGTCGCATGCCAGAGATTCTAGCCTTGAGGAGACCGACATACCTGCTCCTGCTCCTGTTCCCCGTGCTGTGCCTCCTCCTCCGCCATCTCAACCTGCACCAACAAGAGCTTCAATCGACGCACCCCGCGTGGCTCCACCACCTGTGCCTGTTCACGCTCCTACACAATACGAGCAGTACGAGCATGACGAGGACGACTACCAAGAGCCTTCTCGTGCTCTGCCGATCCGTGCTGTACCACCCCCACCTCCGAGCGCACCAGCTCCCGTTCCTGCTCCGCAAGAGTACGCCGATGACAGTTCTGACGATCTTTACGGTGCATCGCCTCCTCGTCAGTCCATGGACCGCCCACCTCCACCTCCTCCTGTTGATCAAGATCGTGCTGCACCTCTGCCTCCTTCTCAACCACCGCCGCCCGCCCGTTCATCGACCCACCAATCTCGTCAATCGCTTGATGTCAGTCGTCCCTCGATGAACATGCGTCGCAGTATGGATGTTTCTAGGCCCATGCAGGACGGTCATATCGCCACGGATATCGACCTTGCCGAGAACACTCTTTGGTGGGCACAACCAAACACTCCTCCTCCAACTTTCCAGAACCGCAGTGACATTCTGTTCGAGGTTGAGGAGAATGTGACTCAAAGACGCGGCGGTAGAACGGCCATCACAAAGGACGTCTATGTCTTGTTCATCGACTACAGTCAAACCGTCATCACTGCCCGCTACGACGGCCAGAACCCGCAAGAAGCTACACTTGAACAAAGACATGAACCTCCTCCACCCCGTCTTCGTCAAGACCAACTCGAAACCGCATGGCAGAAATACGGCGCCCGCATCTCAGAAGCCGCAGCGACAAAGAAGGATCACGTCGTCGGTAATGGCAGCCCCAACGCCCTCGTCCTTGATCTCCTCAAACCCTTCAATGATGCACTCAAACCAGTCGGTACCCGTGCATACGGCGCCCTCGTCTACGCCAACCTGGCCAACGCCTCTGTCCAACAACACGACGAGATCCGCCCTGGTGACATTGTCACTCTCCGCAATGCCAAACTCCAAGGCAAACATGGAGCCATGCACAAATCATACTCCATGGATGTGGGTATGGGAAATACTCATGTTGCAGTTGTCGTCGATTGGGATGGTACGAAGAAGAAGGTCAGAGCTTGGGAGCAAGGGAGGGAGAAACCCAAGACAAGGATGGAGAGTTTCCGTCTCGGTGACCTTAGAAGTGGAGAAGTTAGGGTGTGGAGGGTTGTTGGGAGGGAGTGGGTAGGATGGGATTCTTAGATGTGTTGTTTTCGATGATGATAAGAATACGATTGTAGAATTGAGAAGATTCATGGGTATAAGGAGTTTTCCTTGTTGTTGTTGTTGTACATAATCGTTTTTCTTGTTACTGTTCATTGTACCAATCACTTCTTTCATGTTTGCGGATTTGGATTGAGTTTCTGTACCGAGTGAGTCGCAGCGATACTCAGAGCCCGATGCCGCCTTCGTTGTGTTCTCGGCCGTTGATCCACCGCCGTCGAAACACTTCATGGCATCGCACCTAGAAGCGACCGCTCACTCTATAACATGTGTCAAAACACATAACCAGGTTTGCGGGTTTTCTTCAAAGTCGTATCGGCATAAAAGCACCATTTGCCGAATCGGGTGGGTCTTTTGTCCATCATCCTTCAGGATCAATCAGGCAGACAGCCGGCGTTTTTCTCGCAAGACCTCCCCAACGTGAATGTTTTCTTACTTGTCTTTTGCCTTTCTCCTACTGTTGTTTCCTTTTGATATACTTGTGGTATTTTTGATGTTGGTGGTCTGGTTTTGCTGAGTTGGAGGAAAGGAATCGACAATACCGCATATACCACAGGACGCACAGGACGCACAGACGCCAAAGATGTCCACGACAACATCAGCCAAAGACGATGCAATAGCCTTTGCCAGTCAGAAATGCTTTCACCAATCCATAACCATCGATCCAACTTCCGCGCATCAGAAACTCCGCGTATCTTTTGCGACCACGTCAGGATTTGACGACGACGGCAAGAATGATCTCGAGACTATTCTGATTTGCGGAGGCATGGGAGCGTCACGCCTTTTGCTATATAGATTAGATGCTTTGGCGAAGAAGGAGGGTGTCAGGGTGATTTTTATCGATAGGTGAGGTCATTTTTTGTTCCATCTTTTTCTTTTTCTTTTTTTCTTAAATGTGTTCTCTCACGCCAGCTCATTTTTCCTTTCTACCTCTTTCTTTTCTTTTTTTCTGGCTTTCAGGAATGGAGATGCTGATTTTCAATCTGGTTTTCAGGCCGGGAGTAGGTGGTTCGACACCAGTTCCTCTGGATCAAAGAGTACAAGTATGGTTGGACGCCGTGCCCGCCGTACTCGAGCATCTAGGCGTCAAGACGATATCATTACTATCCCACTCGGCCGGTGCGATTTACGCCATCAACACCCTCCTCCTGCTCCCTCATCTCCTACATCCCCAGCACCCATACGCCGCTTTTTTAAGTATGCAATTTCCTCCCCACCCTCGCCCCTTCCTTGTTACCCAAAAAGCAAGCTTTACTAATGGAGATGCCGAACAGCTCCATGGGTCCATCCTTGTTTCTCTTCAGCACCGTTGATGCAGGTGGTTGATAAATTGCCCTCTGCATTGGTAGGATCGCTGCATCATATCACTTCTTTCGTGGGCGGATATATCGCTCCTTCCGTCCAATTTTCTTCGGGTATGATGGGCGTCACGGATGATTTGCCAGAGGACCAATGCCAAAACTACTATGATATGAGCAGTAAGAGTTGGTCAGAAGTGTGCAAATTACAAGGCAAATATGCCAGATTGGAGGATATGAGGTATGCTTTTGCTTTACTTTGCTTTGCTTTTTCTTATTCACTCCCCCTGGTTTCTTTCTCTTCCATCTTTCTTTTGGGTATCATATACCGTAAAGTGGCTATACTGATGCCACGGGATCCTTACAACAGTGGCATCTCCGCCGATGCAAACCTCTGCATGCAAAAAGACAGCAAAGACTGGTGCACCCACACCTCCCTCCCCACCACAATTTCCTCTCTCCAACAACTCTATCCCCAGCAATCACGTCCCCTGACCATCCGAGCCTATTTCGCCGCATCAGATCAAATCATAGGTAGAGGCGGCCAAGTGTATTTCGAAGAATGCTGGAAAAGGGGGAATGATGCACAAGGACAAGTGGATTTTGCAGCAAAGGGTGTGGATGATACGGATCATGATAATATCCCTTTAGTGGAGAAGGGGTGTCTTGGGGAGATATTCAAAGAGATCAAGGATTTGAACGTGTGTGATGGATAGATATCCATGGCATGTATGCAAAGTTGACGGCGGGTGAAAAATTACACAAGAGGTGCAGAAGAGCAAGGTATATATATATCTACATCATCGAGTGCTGATGCCCTATCTCCTCCACACATGAAGTGTCTCACAATTCCATTGCCTTGAAGAAAATATCGCTTGTTGATAAATATCACATAGATCAAAGTATGCCATTCTTTGTCTCTTTGCGATTCGGGGAGCCAGCTGGGTTTGTTCCATACATGTTTGTGAGTCATGCCGACGACTTCTTGCAACCTTGGGGAAAGTCGAAGAGAAAACACATCAAGCAAGCCGTTTGTTTGCCTTGCATCTCAGTGCTCGAAAGATGGGAACAACTGTGCACTTCTCCATAACAAATCATTCGCGAGGTCGCACAAATCTCAGCTTGATAGCGTCGCGTTGTATGCTTTATGCTGATATCTGGAAAGACACTGTAGACACATTTCCTCAGTCTTGGTGGCAGGTCTCTTTCTGATTTGTAGAATATCTGTCGTGGTGGAGTTGCGTTGATGTGTTGCCTCGAGATCGACGGCTGTGACTTGAGCTTTACAGTGTGATGGGTAAGCTTCTGATAAGCCTCATGGTGTGGTCCGGTGCGGTGCGGTGCGGTGCGTAAACGTTACCCGCCGAAGAGTCAAGAGAGAGCATCATATTGACGTCTCTGTCGAGAAAACAGCATCGCATACGCACGAACTTCTTATCGCCTTGCGTGGCTGCAAAAGTCATCGCAATTGACATGGCTCTCTCGGATTTCGAACGAGAGATATAAGGCCCACTCACCCATCTCTAAGACCTTCCACAATCCTAGAAACCTGCTTCATGGAAATCGGTTTGGCCATAAACTCATCAACCCCACTCGCCATGGCATCCTTTTTCGCCCTATCCCCCGTAACACCCGTGAGCGCAACAATCCTACACCTCTGCAGCTTACCCCTTTTCTCAAACGCGCGGATCTGTGTAGTAGCTTTGAAACCATCCATGACCGGCATGGACATGTCCATCAACATGAGAAAAAAGGATGAGGGGTTTGCGGTGTAGGTTTCTAGTGCGATGAGCCCGTTTTGTGCGCAGTGGTAAGGGAGTTTCAGGCGTTTAACTGTGGCGACGAGGAGTTTCATGTTGATTTCGTTGTCTTCGACCAGGAGGATGGATTTTGGAGGAGATTCATCTGGTAGCTCAGTGCTAGGTGTTTCCGAAGTTTCTGTGCGTTGGCTTTTGTTTACTTGTATGCCTGGGAAGTAAGAATCATTTGATTCTAATGATGGTGCTGGTGGGGTTGTGTTGCGATCGTTCGCTGATGGTAATTGCGACATTTCCCTCCATCGACCATCAGGTCGGCCACTTTGAGGGGAGTAAAAGCCACGAGCTGGGTTGAGCTCACTGCCTTGCGCTCCCAATGGAGTACTCGACACCTCCATACTTCTTGTGATAGCACGAGCGATCTTGCGAGGACCGAGTCTATGAATCAAAATTAGCAAGAAGGAAGGTTGAAATCATTCTGCAGATGCGTTTTACATACGGTTGGCTGACAAGAGTACAAAATTTACCCATAATCTGGCGTGTACGTGCTGTAGTGTCGTCGTGAATCGAGGAGCTCAGCACTATGAGACGATGCGAGCTGGTCGCACTTCGAGAAAGGTGTTCCAGATAGGTAGGATCCTGTTTTTGCTGTGCAATCAAATCCGTATCAACTACGACGTTGAAGTCACCGAGATTTTTGGAGTCTGCAAACGAAACCAGAGATGGCGTTGCATTCAGACCCGCAACGCAGACTTCTGAAAAGTCATTTCTGACGGCAGAGAGACGATCAGTCGTTTCTTCTCCAGCAGTCAAGAGGCAGATGCGTTGCTGATGTAGAGCAGCAAATGCTCCGGCCAACTCATCATCGGAGCCAGTGCTGCTGGGCGGGTCCTTGACAAAGTCGACTAAGCAATTGACCTGGACTCTGGTACCTCGTCCAGGTTCGCTCGTAATCCATATCTTACCATCTAAACCAGCAAGCAAGCTTTTGACAATGCTCAATCCGAGACCGGTTCCATTGACGTGAGAATCTGCTTGCTGGAAAGGTGTGTACAACCCTGTCTGCAAGAATTCAGAAGACATGCCGATGCCAGTGTCTTCTATAACAAGGACGATAGGTCGGCGATCCGCATCTTCTGTCGTCTCGACAATATCCTCTACGCTGATGCTTATCCGGACAGACCCTTGTTTGGTGTATTTCAAGGCATTTCCGACGAGATTGGTCAATATTCGAGTCCATGCGCCGGGCTTGATTCCGTCAGCATTGTGTTGTGGGTTGGAAATATGTAGTTATTTGTGTCTTACCGATAACCTGATCCACCAATGAGGGAGCTGATGCATCACGAGAGAGACCGAGACCGGGCTGGGTGCGTTGTCGGTGTCGGTAGAGTTCGAGGAAGGTTCAATACTGGTTGCCAATGCCTCGAAACGTTTTGCCGTGATGACGGTATCCACGACACTATGATGATTGTCAGTATATGGACCGATTTTGAGGCTCGCGGGAAACACACTCTTCGGTCAACTTGCTGAGATTCATGAGCTCATGCCCATGATCGAGGATAGCATTGCTACTCTTTCGCTCCAATCCAGCCTTGTAATGCCGAGTCTGTTGCTGTCCGTCGTTTTCGATCTTGACGTAATCCAAGATATTATTGACACTGTTGATGTGAGCTTGGGGAACCCGAGTGCTTGAGAAAGGGGTAAAAGGGGGTACTACTTACGTGTCGAGCAATGTGATCCCTGCCATCTTGATCGAACGAGCCATGTCCTTCTGAAACGAGTCAAGATTGGATTCCTCCAAGAACTCCACGCCACCGAGAACACCATGCAGGGGGCTTCGGAGCTCATGGCTTACAGACGAGATGAACGATGACTTGGCCTGGTCTGCAGCCATTGTCTCAAAACGATTCATCTCCGCCATAATGCTGTTGGAAAATGCGCGGAGGTAGGTTACATCTTCGGCCTTGTCAAAGTGGCGGAGAGGGGTAGTGTCCCATAGCATGACTGTCGCGCTGAATCGTGAAGAGGAAGCATTCCATATTGGCAAGAATATGACACTGCTGACACCAGGGAATATTCCGCTCAGCACCACTCCATCTTTCGCTGATCGAGACCGAGATGACTTGGGTTTACCAGTTGAAGCATTCAGGGGAACACCCTGAGCGGGCTCACCAGACGACCCCTCCTCACCTGAGCTAGAGTGAGACTCGCCAGTTTCGGCGTAATTGAATATATTACCGCCAGGATATCGTTTCATCAGTTGCCGTTGGAACGATCTAGATAGGCCAAGGTGGTTCTTTGATGGCAGGAAGCCTTTCAAGCTTGATTTCGCACGCGTTGAGAAGCCCAAGACCTTGCAAGTACTGATTTTCGTCTTATCCATAGCCGTGTCGGTAGATTCAAGATCCATCTCTGATGTACTGGGGGCCGATGTTCCGGATGTTGCTGAAGTCTCGTGCATCGCGGCTGTCACAGAATCGAGCGTGTAGGCCATGCTTGCGTCCAGGAACAATACTCCCTCGGCGTCAAGAGCCTCACGGAGTAAATTGCTGGCGCGAGCATAACTTGATTGGACCTCCGCCTCTAGGTTGAAGGTTGAAGACTTTTTGGAATTGGGTGTGCGTTGCGTCTTCGAATCGGCTCGGTGTAATCCCCCTTGACTTGATGCAGAGTGTTTTTCACTGGACGTGGTCTGGGTTTGGGATCTGCTTTTTTCCTGTCCGTCACTCTTTTCACCCCTGTCACCCCTGTCATCATTCTTGCCGTCTGCGAAATCTTTCACAGAGGTATCATTCGGTGCACCTTGCACACTTGCAGTTCGCGTCGACCGTCTCTCATAATCTTCAGGTGAATTATCCGGACCAAGTGCTCTATCCAGACGCGCCCTTTGAGATGTCTTGCCGGCTTCAGTCATGTCTTGTGTACCTCTCGCTCGACCACTCTTTTCATTGTCCTGGGTAAGCCACCATGCTCGTAAGCTGTCCTTTCCAGTATTGAAAAGACCTATGCCCTGAATTAGCTTTTCTGCCCTCTGCTGGCGCGCCGATGCTGCAACAACGTCAAAGTGTTTTGCGATGGTTCGCGACATATCCTCAAGGAAGGACATTTCAGCAACACTGAGTCCATAGCGTGGCTTTTCGTCGACTACGAGATAGGTGCCCAGCACACTTCCCAGGGATGATCTGATTGGAACGGCGCATAGAAACCGAACTGGCGTGGCTGAGAATGCTTGTAGGAATGGGAGTTTTGAGTACTGGTCTTCCAGAGTGGCGTCACTGACTATCAGCCAATTATCCGAACAGCCTTGGGTGTAGTAGTGCATGTCTGAGGGAGGAGAAGGTCGTGGCGCAGATGCACGGCGCCATTCGCGCATGGCGGTTTGTGTAATTGCCTCTCCTCGTGGAAAGGCAGACGTGCCCAAGAAGAGTCCATCGCTTTTGTCGTGAGTGCCGTCGTATTGTAAGGATAGCGTCCTCGTACTTTCAGCCAGTACGTATTCGGTCGAGGAGGACACCAGGGAAACAAAGCATCGCGCAGCATTCAGACGTAAGGCTCCTAGTTGTGCAAAGGCAGCAAGAGCGGTGTCGTTGGATCCTTGTGGTGATATAGTATCGACAGAAGCAAAATCTAGGTGGGGTATAACGGTGTGCTGGAAGGTATCTATCCATGGTCGCAAAAGACTACAGACCGAGCAAACATTAGTTGATGTCCCAGGCGGCAGAGAAGTTGCCTGTAATTTAGTGTACTTGCCGAAAGACTTCACGTTCTCTCGTCGATTCCGTACGACGTGAAAAGACAAGCGACTCGGACTGTTTGGATGAGTGCCGATTCAAGGGCGGAGGCTCTACCGGGTTGTCGGCTTCCATTATGCGACAGGTTCCAGTAATCTCATATGGTGCTTCAAACTCTCTGTGTTCTGCGACAGCAAGACGAGTTGTGATTGTAACAGAAGACTCCAACTACGATTGCGAAAGTCGAAGACGTACGAGTACAATTCTTGGTCCACTTTTCGCATCGTCCTCTAGGATCTCCTTCGGAGCAACCATCCGTGTGCCCTGCAGATCTGAACTTTATCCTCTTTCACGGTTACGGGACGCTCAGCGAAAACATTCTTGCAAGATGAAACAGCTCTTGATCAGAATCATGGTCGAAACATCCGTATTATCAACTCGATGAGCCAGAATCTGGAAACCGTAGGAAAAGCTTTATCGTGAGAATTGTAGAAGATGCTTGCTTCTCCATTAATCGAGCCGCTTGCGCCGTGACAGGGAGTCCTGACTCCTGACTGTTGTCGATGGGTGCGACGGGGAACCGGGAAGTGGTGCGCAGAAGGAGCGTTCTAGGCCCTTGGACGGCTTGGACGGGTCATAGTCTACCAAGCACCTTGCAGATCTCAACACATGCTGTTCTTGGCAGCCTTTCACCACCCACTTTGAGCTTTGACACTTTCGGATCCAGTTTCAACAATCGCATCCGCACAAATTATGCCATTCACGAGAGGTTGAATGCAAGGTGCAGGGCGAGTTGAGTCGATCGCAATGATGATTCAAAAAGACCAAAGGGTGTAAAAAACGAAACGCTTTAATAAACAAAAAGGAAAAGAACATTGTTTTCAAGAAGAAAAAGAAGACGGAAGTGGTATCAAACGCAAAAAGATAAACAGACGCGCAGGCAACGACAAAACTAATCCTGATACTCGACAAACGACAAAGAAGACGATATGGGTCCTGCTCTTCGAACATGGGGCCTCAATCCTCATCAACGACAACCCTCTTGGTCATGCTTTCGACAACCTTTGTGTAGAATTTGACGGCGTGGTTTCGAGGGAAGCAGATTTCTTCGGTAAGGTAGTCGGGTAGAATATCCATGAGATCGGCGTCTCTGTTTGTATCCAACAAGGGTTCGTATGCGAATTCTGTGTCCTCGTAACTCAGTCCAGATGGTGTCTTGGGGTTTGTGACGGCGCTGTCGGTAGCAACGGTGAGGTGGAAGTGTAATGCTAGAGTGACAAAGTCAGCGAGTTCATGACACGAAATGACTCATGAATGCAAGACTTACTGCCGTTACGACCGGTTTGGATACAACTGTACTCATCTTCACCATCCTTCCTCTTCACACTCGTGATGATCAAACCAGTCAAATCACGATAAAGTTCTTCCTTCAACGCATTCTCCTTGACAGCTTCAGCACTCGCACCCCCCATCTTACCATGATCAATCCTCTTGACGGCCGATCCTGGTACTTTCTCGGCATTTGTCTTTCTCGCGGCTTCCAGTTTTGCAGTCAGGGCCTTTGCTTCATTCTGTGATTCTGTGAGGCTTTGATGCGTGGTTTTCTGGTCTCCCTTGAGCTTCTCGTTTTCGGATGTGAGGGAGGCGACTTGTGATTGGAGTTTTGCGGATTCGGCGGTCGTGGAAGAGGAGGTTTTCCGGAGGTCGGCGAGTTCTTTTTTGAGGCTGGCGATTAAATCATTGGCATCTACGACCTGTGTTAGCGGAATGTCGGAGTGTGGTCTGTCAGGATTGAATTTACCCTTTGCTTTCTGGTCTGTAGCCTTCTTCAAGCGCTCGAAATTTGCTTCTGCGGCTTTTGGGCCAAGCTCTGTCAAGGAGTCGTATTTCATGCGCATTTCTTCGTACTTCTTGGTCATATCTGCCAATCTACGGCTTGCTTCCGACTCGGCCATTCTTCTTTCCGTGTCGCTTGCGCTACGGCCCCGGGAATAGGTTCCCGGTTGTCTGGAGGTTGAGCGAGCGCGCGAGTAAGCAGCACCTGGAGCAGCTTGTCGTTGTATCGAGGCAGATGGCTGTCGTGAATGAGACTTTGGCGGTGGGGGTGGTGATGAGGGCTCTCTGTCGATGTCCATAAGATCGGCCGGGGGCTCCTCCTCTTCCACAATAGACTGCTCAATCTCTTCTGGTTCCGGTTGTGTCTCTGGGATGACGGGAGCAGGTTCAGGGGACGGGGCGCGTTTCGTCTTGGGCTTCGACTTTGCGACGGGTTTTTCTTTCTCAGGTTGAGCTTCTGCTGATTTGGCCTTGGTGGACTTGGTCGCCTTCTTCACTGGTGCAGTTGTAGGCGCAGGCGCGGCCTCTTGTTCAGGCACAGGGTCGGGCTCAGGGGCAGGCGCGACATGCTTTGCGACAAGATCCTTCTTCAAGACTCTCTTCCTCTGTTTGGGTTTCGGGGCAGGTTCCATGGCGGCAGGTTCGGGCTCATCAGCGTCGCTAGCTTCTGGTGGGTCGACGGGCTCTTTTGCGAGTTTTGGTTTAGCAGTCGTCTTCTTGGTCGCAGTAGCGGCCTTCTTGACGGGTTTCTTCACGACAGTACGGTTGATCTTGGGAGGAGCCGGTCGCGAATTTTCCAGATCGGAAGCGCCAATCTCGTCTTCGGATCCGGAGGCTGGCGGTTTGGTAGCGACAGACTTGGAAGGCATGTTGGGCGGCGCAGATTGAATGCGACAAGGAAGCAAGGCCAACAATTGTTTTGTTTACAGCAAGCACGCGCCCCGCAGAAACGTCAATCGCAACTTGCAAGCCCGAGTCCGCCAAGACAAGAACTGCTCATCCACCATCTGACATTCTGTATATGGTTATCGCAGCATCTACCCTACTTGGCGTAGCTATCAATTGACTTGTGTGTAGACATGTAGATCTTCTTGGATATTGTATTCACCATGTTACTTTCTGAAGAAGATGGATGATGATGATGATGATGGACCGAATCACATGACCTTTGCTTGGCATTTGCGGCCATCGGGGGAGAGATGATGCTCAAAGTATGAGCAGTCGGATAATTGTCTAGTTTGAACGAGTCGGAGTCTGCGCAATGTCAAAGGCCATCAATTCGCCCACGGGCAGGCTGCTGCGCAACTCGCGCCTCTTTTCCCTACCGCCACCTCTGCCAGCTGCCCCCATCGCCAGTTCGACGGCAGGCCAGATTCTTCGCACTTCCGACACGGCGACACAGCCGTATCCCACCCACCAGGCCATCTCCTCCCCTGCCTCGTCACGATCACGCGGTGACTGGGGTCTGAAGCGTCCTCTTCCCGGCAGAGCCATTCCCAAGAACACGCCACACCTCCGTATCAAGGCCATCGACACTCTCGAGCACATCACCGACTTCGAATCCGCCGCCGACCACACCCAATCGCTTGCAAAATGGCAGGAAATGGATATTGCAATCACCCTGCCGCCGAATGCTCGCAGCGGAATTGCCAACAACTCTCACAAGCTCCGTCCTAGCGCCTTCAACGCAAACTACGACAACACCACTCTGCGTCCACACGGTTTCGAACAGACCAGACTCACCGCCCAACGTGCTCTGGAGGAGAGAGAACGCCTGTCTGCCGACCCCAACGTCGATCAATCCACCCTGCTCACGAGATGGAAGACCCAAGGTCCTCACCTCACCACCATGACCGAGGAAGAATTCGAGCGCTACCTGTTGAACCGTGTCCGCGAGAACAAGGTCGAGTTCCGCAATTTCCTCGAGAAGGTCAAGATCGAGAAGAAGCGCCAGAGAGAGCAGACTTTGATGCGCGACCACTCGGATCCCGCCACCTTCGAGATTGAGCTGCAATACCGAAGTCGTCTTGACAAGTACGAGTTGGACGACTGGATCAAGGAGTTGCGCGACAACCACGACTCGCTGAACAGTGAACTCGCCCATCTCGTCCGCGACTTCTTCGATCTGCCCGCCTTCCCCATGCCTAAGCAGGCCGGCCAGCAGTCGACTAGTAACCTTGCCAACGAGTTGACCAGGGCAAAGAACGATGCTGGTCCTCCCTCCACTCACCCTTCGGCCGGTTTGTACTATTCCATGACCACCGCCAGCATCAACAACCACCCCATCTACGGTCCTCAGGCCGACCGCGAACCCGTTCAAGCTCGTGTTCTGCGAACAAAGGCTGGCAACAGAGGTAGAGACCAAAAGGCCGACGTTGGTATGGGTGGTTTCGTCTCGAGCATCACACCAGGCAACGTTCCTTCGGCAAGGACCGCCTTCAAGGATACAAGGCCCAGAAACGGCCCCAAGAACCCGCTGGCCGACCTCGACCTCTCGCTTACCGGCGGCAACAAGGTCTGGTTACAGCCTAGATCTGCCTATGTGGATGAGGCCGGTCGTATCAGGCTCGATGTTGCCGAAGCAAGCCCGCAGTCTGTGGATATCAAGCTGGGCAACCCCGTCAAGGAGGAACAGGAGTCTTTCCCTGTAATGTCTGGCAGACAGAACCAGCGCCTTGACTCTGGCTTCGTCAATGCTAGATATGGCACCGCTCTGCCGGATGAGAGATTGCGTCAACCGCGCGCCGCGCCTTTTGAGAGCGAGGGTGTTGACAGCAAGTCTGGCCTCGAGCAGATTGAGGCTTTGGCTAGGGGTCAGCGAAAGTGATGTTGAGAAGCTGAGCTTGTATAGATATGTACAGATATTGAAATTGTTCCATTTACATGAACTCCCTGCGATGCATGTCAATCGTTACTGTGATCTCTTGCATAAAATTGTTACAATCCATCCTCATGACTTGAATGCTGTCTGTGGTGATGTTCAAGAGTGAAGTCAGGAAGCGGGAAGGACCGTGCACCGGAAAGTCCTTGCCAAGCAATTAACCGAACAGCACCGCCAAAACTTCAGCCTCCCAAATCCTCACGAACTTCTCCCTTTTCGAAGCGCGCCGCGAACACTACATCTCTCTTCGACAACCTCCTCTTCCGCCAAAACACACATACCGCAAAAATGGGTCGCGTTCGTACCAAGACTGTCAAGAAGTCCGCCAAGGTCATCATTGAGCGTTACTACCCCAAGTTGACTCTCGACTTCGAGACCAACAAGCGCATCTGCGATGAGATTGCCATCATTGCCTCCAAGCGCCTGCGCAACAAGGTAAGGACATCTCCAGTCTCGGAACGGATGAGAAGAGAACAGGAACTGATCATTATCAATCAGATCGCCGGTTACACCACTCACTTGATGAAGCGTATCCAGCGTGGTCCCGTCCGCGGTATCTCGTTCAAGCTCCAGGAAGAGGAGCGCGAGCGCAAGGACCAGTACGTCCCCGAGGTTTCTGCTCTCGACTTCACCCAGAACTCCGAGTCTGGCATGCTCGACGTCGACCAGGACACCAAGGACCTCCTCAAGTCCCTCGGCGTAAGTTTTTGATTCTGCTCATCAACTCTTCTTTCTCTTCATCATACTAACTGCATCTTTCAGTTCGACGCTATCAACGTCAACGTCGTCCCCGTCGCCCAGCAGCAGGTTGCCGAGCGCCCTCGCCGTTTCGGCGACCGCCTTCCCCGCAACTAAGCTATTCGCACTGTTGTGTGACGGCTTCGGAAAAGTTCTTGACAATCATAAGAGGAGGGTTTACTCAACATGGCGCATTAGTCTTGTTCAGGTCAGATCACCTTTCAAATGCAATCTGCTCTCCCCTTGCACAACCAGGTGTCGCTGATTCTTGTTTCTTTGAAGCAAGATGATGCTTGACTGCCACCCATTCACATTCTTTTTTTCTTTGGCCACGACAGCGCAGTGGAAGAGTCACAGGTAATGCTGAGACTTTGTTCTGCTGTTGTTCTGTCGTGGCCGGCTGAGACTGGATTTGTAAGAGAAAAACCCTTCTTGCAAGTCTTCAGGCTCGGCCACTCGTGATCTCTTTGTCTTACTCGCTGTGACCTTACGCCGTGACTCCGTGAACCATGGCTACCACCAGTACCCTGTGATTATCCGTCATCAGACCGCATGGCAGCATGATACCATCGCTTGCTTGAACACTGCTTGAACACACGTTGCAAGACGCAGCAAAGACGTCTCAATCAGATTGGCGCTCTTATGCGATTATCGCAATACCTGGTAAGTTTTGCGTGTCGTTTGACATGAGCGTAGCACCCTTGCCGTCAAACTCCAAATGCACTAGCTCTAGATGATATATTTCAAGACAAAGTCACATATCCCCATAAGAACTCTTCCAAGCATTGACGTGGTCGGAATTTGTATATGGTTGCGCAACCGCCATCGCGGCAACTTTGGAAGAGGGATCCTCCAAAGGCCGGTAGATCGAGGAGCGAACGTACGGAGATGAGGACGAGAAGACCACAAATCTCATACGACACAAATCTCATGAACAACAGGTTTCAATAACAGCGAATAACACGCAGACCTGATCCAAGTACTTTTTCTCTATTGGAATCAAAAGTCAAAGTATGTGTGTACGAATATCCTCATCGACAGTGCGCACGCGTTCCCTGAATCTTATACTAAGCGGGAATAATCAACATTAACATCAACATCAACATCTTTCCAAGTCCTTAATACAAGCTTCTTTGCTAATATAGAGGAACAATTGGCCCCCTTTAATTAAAATAGAGATAACACTCTTTTTCTAATTTGTAAGGGATAAGACGAGTTCGAAAGTCTTTAATTAAGCATATTTTATGACAGGGTAGGAGATCTAACAATTCTGACTTTAGGGAAAAAGGAAGAAAAAGGAAAGCAAAAAAGAGGAAAGGGAAAGAGAAAAGAAAATCTTGAGATCCGAACATTATACCTTTAACTTATAAATGCTTATATTAAGTTTAAGGATTAATTTATAAACTAATTATAGTCGAGGTAATAACTCTTTATTCCTGCCCTAGGTTAGCGTTTAAAACGGTCTTTATATTGCTATAATCATAACTCGAGAGGTAGCTTAATTGTTGCTATTAGACTCGTTAGAAGGAACGGGTATTATAGAGTAGGTTAACTACATATATAGCGATGCATGTTGTTCTAGATGTTTTTTGCATGAACCTATAGATTCCATTATCTCACTTATAAAGATCCTCCTAAGTCTTACATATCCTAGCGAGGGTTTTCCTATCTAGAAATTTAATGTTATAAACTTAACACTACTAAGATAGAGAGGTTATACTTAGGCACTAATAATGTGTCTCTAATAAATTCCGACCTAGAAATCTTAGTATCTTAAGGGCCTAGAATGTCTAGCGTTGCTAGCGTCTATGTTCTATCCGAGACTTTTGTTAGTCTATATAGAACAGCTTTCTATTGCTAACATTTAAACTATACCCTTCGTATATAAAAGACATAAAGTATCCTACTACTATAAACAAGAAGCTATCTCTAGATCCTACTCTTTTCTACCTTAATAACCTTATTCGAGCGATTAAGATCTAAGTATATATACCCCTACTACTATAATCTAGTTAATAACTACCTTCCTCTTAACTTTATCCTTCTACTATGCTAAACTAAAACCTCCTACCCCTTTACCTCTAGTATACTTTCTCCTCTACGAATTCGGCTACGAGTTAAATTCTAGCTACTACTCTAGCTTTAACGAAGCATTTATCTTTGCCGTCGACCCTGCTACCGATGCTAAAGATATAAGTATAGATAATGCGAAAAGTTGTTCTTTATTCTAGATTTTAATGCTAAATGGACGAATTGCTAATATCTGTTATTATATAGTTAATAGCAAAATGATAATATTAAATCTACTTAGTCTTATAGGATAGATTTATATATTAGCAAAACGGAATTTAGAATAGGGATATAACATTAATACTGCCTATAAGTGTTCCTCTCCTCTACTATACCTTCTATCCTTTACCCTTCCTTCTCTTCTCTCCTATCTATCCTATACTCCTACTAACTTCTATCTTCTTCCCTTACCTAGTAACAACCTCCCCTACCTTAAACCTAACACCCTAGACTACATAACTAGACTAGCTTATATCGATTTTAACACCTCTGCTCTAGAGTTTAGATATTACGATACTAAGAATTTGCGGTCTAAACATACTAGTAGGCGGATTTAGGCGTTTATAGGTGTAATAAATGCGACAGTATATTAACATTATAAAGGTTGTAGTAATCTAGGTAGTAGAAAATAAGAGAGGTATTTTCTATAGTTTTAGATTTAATGGGGGAAGGGAAAGGTAGAGCTAGGACTAGATAGATATCTAAATGGATATCTAATAGATATAAGGTTAGATATAGGTTAGATATAGATATAGGTCTATATCTAATCTAGTCCATATCTAGCCTTATATCTATTAGATATCTAGTCTAAGAGCTTAGCATTACTATATTAGGTATAGTTACTAACTATATTAGGAATAGTGTCGTTAATCTCTACTTAACTAGCTTCTTAACCTTTTAACCTCTACGTAGTTGAAAAGTATCGCCTAGTAGTTAGAAGCTAGAGCTCTAGGGGGAATAGTTATTAAGGGGTAGAACTAATACGTGTGTTATAATTAAGTTTGTCGACTACTATTGTAGTATAGAAGTCTTTATGTTATAGCTTCTTTACATTACCTAACTTCCTCTTACTACATCTATTACCCTAACTACCATATTGTAACATACGTCCCTATACTACTTCTACTATACTACATCTATTAATATCTATTAATATGACCTTCTAAATAACGCTTAATTTATCCTTTTTAATATAAAGTTTATTGCTACCCCTTTCTACTACCCCCTTAACGTCCTAATAAGGTATTACGCCGTCTTAATAATGAACTAATAACTTCTAAAGTATAGCTATTAAAGATCTACTTAAACTAACACCCCTACCTTTATACTATAACTCTCTTAACTTCGATACTATTTATAAGGACTATAGCCCTTCTACTTCTAGAAAAGGTAGTATTAATAGCTAGATTTAGCTCTATAGTTAGCGCGTTATAGAAAGGTTCCCTATACCTAGAAGCTTAAGCTTAAGCTTAATAGGCCTAAAACGACATAAGAAGTACTATTAGCTATATTTAAGATGTTATACTTGCATTAGTAAGCGCTTTAAACCTATCTAAGTAAACAATAGTATATTAGCAATTTATACTTATCTTAATATAGTGCATAATATATAAGAATAACTATCCCCTTATTAACTATATAAGCAATAGTCCTTAATAGGGCCTCTAGATAGATCTCCTAGCGTAAAAAGAGCAAAGTTAATATATAGATTAGCTATTAATAGCTATATAATCCTATTTAAGGAAAACACGTTTAAGGCCCTTCTTCTTAATTATATTATTAGGGAAAATAATGCTTTTAGTACTATTAAATTACTACGCCTTTAAGCTATCTTAAAGTATCTTAATCTAGCTATTAAGAAGAGAGGTTACCTTCTAGTTTATAAGACTATAGTAGCCTAGATTTAAGCTACCTTTAAAGTAAATGTTAGTAGGATTAAGTCCTTTCTTAATACCTCTATAAGCTAGATTAATATCTCTTTTAACCTCTAGACCTCTTAAAGGATAACTACCTTTTATAGAATTACTACTTATTTCTATAACGTTAATAGTAAGTATAGGTCCTTTTTACTTACTATTCTAGAGCATATAGGCGATCACTTAGGTATTAATATCTTATATACTATTTAAGAGATTATTAATAAGTTTAATCTCTCTAGTAAACTTAGATACTTTTAGTATAATAATGCTACTAATAATAACACTTACTTAGAGGATCTTATAAAGGAATATAGCTTTAATTATAAGGAACGTCGACTTCGCTATATTAGCTATATTATTAACCTTATTACTTATATAATTATCTTTAGACTAGACCCTAATTTATTTAAGAATGCTCTATTAGTTATAATAATTCATATTATTACTTAGAGATCTAAGGGGCCTTATAGTAGGTTCTATAACATTAACACCTATATTTAAGGTTCTCTATAACGCTAAATAAGATTTAGATTTTATTAAGTAAATTATCCTCTAGTTAATTAAGATACTAACCTTAAAAGGGAGAATACTTATAAGCTTATTCCTAATAATAACATAAGATAGAATACCTTCTTTAACTTACTTAAAAGAGGTGTTAAATAGTAAGGACTAATTTAAGCTCTTATAGAAGAAATTACTAAGAAATAGGATGTTCTTAAGGCCTAGTAGCATCGTAATAATCCTAGTAAGGTAATGCCTTAATTAAAACTTAAGGAACGACCCTTAGTACTTAATAACTAGTTACACCCCTTAGACTAGGCTATCTTAAAGGAATACTAGGATATCCTTTAACCTCTTAATAAGGTAATAATAATCCTTTAAGGCTATAGTAAAGGTAGAGCTTAGGGCTTAATCTAGTAGACTATCCCTATAATAGAAGGTCTTTTTAAGTACTTTAAAGATCTTAAGGAAAAGTTTATTATTATACCTTTAAATCCTATTAGTACCTATTAACTACTAGTTAAACCTACCTCCTTAATAGCAATATCTAAGATGCTACCTCTAGCTATACCTTTAAGAAGAGGTTAACGAGCTACCTATAATAGGGGAGCTAATTCTTAACTATTACTAATACCCTCTACTCTATAAGTTTAAGAACTATCTTAATAAAACCTTAAAGCCCTATCTTAGTAGCTAGTTATCTCTTAACTACTATAGTCTTAAGCTACTACTAAAGCATATACTTAAGCTTTAAGTAGCTAGCTAGACTACTATATAACTCTCTATGTTTAGATTAACTAAGGTTAGTTAAAGCTTAATAAATATTATAAGTTAATAGACTATTTAACTATATATATTATAAGCCTTATTCTATATCCTACATTTACTTAGGAATATATTAAGAGTCTCTAGGTATATAAGCCTATTTAGCTTTAACACTCTAAGTTTAAGATATTAAAGCTCTAGGGAGAGTATAAGGATATACTAGTAACCTTAAATTATTCTTTAAGTTCTTTATTAATAAACTGCTAGTATAAGTCTAAGCTTTTTAGCCTTAGGCATC